TAGATTGTTTTGGAGGTGTCCAAACATTAATACTTTCTTCATGGTATTAATTCTTCCAATCCATGAACATGGGGTATCTTTCATCTATTCATTTAAGTCTTCTACCATTCTTTCAACAATGTTTTATAGTTTTCAGTGTATGCATCTTGTTATATTCCTGTTTTATTATTTTTATATAATTATAAATGAAATGACTTTCTTAATTTCACTTGTATATTGTTCATTGCTAGTATATAAAAATGCAATGGATTTTCTATTTTGCTCGTTTATTCTGTAACCTTACTAACCTCACTGACTAGTCCTAACAGTTTTCTTTGTGTGAATTCCTTAAGATGTTGTATGTATGAGATCATGTCATCTATAAAAGAAATACTTTACTTCTTCCTTCTTACTCTAGACACCTTTTCTTTCTTTTTCATGCTTAGTTGCTTTGGCTAGACCCTCCAGTACTGTATGTAATAAGAGAACAGCCTTGCTGGTGCATGATCTGAGAAGCAAAGCTTTCAGTTCTTCACCATTAAGTCAAGACTGAACTACTTTTGATTTTTTCTTGTTTCCAGGGCAGAACTTTTTTTTGGGTATTTGCCAAGGTCCATCTTTCTTGCCAGACCTTGAATTCCAGTTCTTCATTCAGCATTTTGAAATTTCCAAAATCTCTTCCTACATTTTTAGCCTATTATCAATTGCTTTCTAAGTTTCTTGGCATAGAACACATTTGCAGTGACTTGGCAAATCATTTGTGGGGAAATTGCATGCAGAATTTCAATGCTCTTTCCTTCTCTCTGGCACCCTAGCCTCTCAAGTACTGTCTAACTTGCTTGTTTTCGCGTGCCTTCTAACAGTGTTTTTTTCTTTAGTTGCTTAGTTTTGTTTTTAATTGTTCCCAGTATGAGGGTTAGTCTGATAACAACTACCCCATCACAGACAAAAGTGGAAGTCCCCTTCTATATTTTATCTTACAAAGCTAAGATTCATTTTCCTTAAATTCTTTTTTTATTTTTTTTAAATTTTATACATTTTTACATCATTTTTCCTTTTTGCACAATGTATGCGTTTTCATCTAGGTTACAGTCCTCATATAATTCCCACCTCCCTTGTTTTGATCCTACTCCCTCCTCCTCACCCCCTCCCTAGTGTGTCTCTGGTTTATAGTTATTTTAAAATACTATGAAATAGTTTGAACATACAAAAAGATATAAGAAAGCTATAATCAACACCCTTGGTAACTTTACTCAGTTTTTTATGCTTATCATCTACACATTCAAAACACACATGTTCACCTAAACAACATATAAAATTCTTTTACACGGTCTTAAAGGTGGCACAGGCAGAGCTGTTATGCATGTACTCCTTCTAACTTTGTTTTCACTCTGCATTGTGTTTGTGAGAGTCATCTGCTTTGTTGTGTGAAGCGATGATTCATTTTCACATTGAGTGATTACACCACGATTGATCTTCCCATATGCTTGCTGATGGACATTTAGGTTGTTTCCAGTTATTCACTGTTCATATCTGTGCTGTTATAAACAGAAAACAGACATCATCTGTAACCTGCTTCTTGCATACATATGCTGGAGCCTTAGTAGTGTACTTAGGAGTGAAATTTCTGGGCTGGGAAGGCACTTGCTCAGGTTTCTTAGTCCATGCCAAAGGATTTCCCAGGCCAGTTGTACTAATTTACATTTTTTTTAGCTGTGAATGAGAGTTCTCATTACACCATGTCCTCAGCAACATGTGATGTTGTCAGACTTAGTTTCTGCCCATCTGCCAAAATTAAAATGGTATGTCATTGCGGTTTTCATTTGCATTTCTCTGTTGGCTGTGGAGTCAAGCATTTTATGCTCTCCACAGCACCTATTTCAATCTGATTTCCTACCCCTGCACTTCTCCACTTCCCCTGAATCTCCTGAGATTTGGTCAGCGTTTAGTCTGAATTACCACAAACCCAGAAATCATTTCTCAACACTGGAGCCTACTGGATAAACACCTCTGTAGGGCTCCGCCACATCCTGCACTGTGCTGGAATACTTCAGTGCAGCGATACCTGTCGTGCTTACAACAAACCTGCAACACAGCGTCATCAGCCCTGTTTCACAGGAAGGAAAGCAAAGAATCAGAAAGGTCAGGTAACTTGCCTAAGGACACACAGCTGGGACCCTCTGCCAGGTCCTCTTCACCCCTCTGGAGGAGATTGCAGAGGTAGGGGGCTGCAGGGACTCTCACAGTGGGAAGACCTTGGGGCCCCTCCTGTGCTTCACTCAGAAATACAACAGGTGGTCTGGTGTGCCTCTGGGGAGATGGTGCTATTGCCTATTTCATACTAGTTACTTGTCAATGGTAGTGATACTGTATTTTCTTTTGAGATATGTTTATTGGAGCAAAAACTGGGAAGCATGCTAAAGATAAATAGCAAGATGATAGCACTGGTGAAAACTTTGAAGGCACTAAATGACAGGAATTCTGGAACTTTCCAATGTGACCTCACGGGTACAGAGACAGAGCCTGTGGCCCATGAAGGCTGAGTTTTGAGTGATGAGAGGGGAAAAAATATTTAAGAAGACTCAGCAGTAGAATTTGCCTTGTGCAAAGCAAGGGATGCAGGACAGGACCTGAGGTGCTAGGGGGATGGCGAGAAGCAAGAATCCAGCACCCTCATATGGTACTTTGTAGTTCACAAAGTACTGTCATACCTGCTTCCTCACTGACCCTTTTAGCTGACAGGTGTAGTGGGCTTCTTGTTTCCATTCTAAAGATGATAACTCATGTCAGAAAGCAGAAAAGCAGAGAACTATTATTTACACCAAGATCCTTGGGCTTCTAATTCTGGGCCCTATTCCACAGCATCAGGTTTCTTGGATGGCAAGCAACAGAAACATAATTCAACATGTTTGTGCAAAATGGGTGTTTTGGGCTTATGTAAGTGAAAAATCCAAGGATAGACATTAGATACGACTGGATCCAGGTCATCAAATGAAGCCATGGGGACTCCGGATCTGTATTTCTCAGTATTGACTTTATTTTTAGGCAAACTGTAAGAGGTGGCAAACATGGCTTCTGCCAGCTTCTCGTAGGTGTCCCAAAACACCTCCTTAGAAGAATTCTGGAAAATATCCTCAGGACTGCTGTCACTGTCCTTGTCTGGACTGGTGTGCATTCCTGGTCCACTCACGGTGGCCGGGCGAGTGGGTGCTTCACTGGCCAGGTTGGGGTCGGGTACCCACCCTATGGAGCAGAGCTCCTGTCAGCTCTAGTTTGAGTCTTTTACTAGAGGAGATGCCAAGCAGACAGAAGCAGCAGATGCACCCCTTGTACCCCTAGGGACCTGTGTGTCATGTGCGCAGAGTTGAGGAGTCTGAGGGATGAGGAACTTGGATCTGGGAGATGAGTCTGGGCTTTTCTGCTGCGCTGTAAAGTTGGAGTCGCTGGGGAGTGTGACAAAGTGCTATGCCAGGTTTCATGCTGGGAGTGGGGTCATGGAGGTAGACAGGCACCCTAGTGAAGGGGGGGCAAATCCTCAAAATGTGGTAACTGGACTTGAGGCCAGATGAGATTTTCCCAAACATGAATTTCTTTTAATAGTGATACGATTTATTCTTAAATGTGTCGGGAAGAAATACATAGTTATAGATATTGCTTAGGACAGGTTGGAGTCAAATTTTTAATTGAATTCACTTATAGAAAACATAGTGAATAAATAATGGTGCACATGACTTACAAAGTGAGAAATTTTGGAAACTCTTAGCTACAGCTCTCTAGTATCCTTCCATTTCAGGTGCTCTAAAGTCCTTAGACGGTCAGTTGTGACTGTCTATGGGTGACTCTGTGTCAGGGGTCATGCCTAGGGTTTTCTGCAAATCACTTCCTTGAATTCTCACCAGAATCCTGGAAGCAGGTGCTAATGTTTCTATGTCACAAGGCTCAGAGAGGGGGAAGTGACTGGCCGAGTCACACAGCTGGAAATCTGGTCCTCTCCGTGCCCTTCACCCATGCCCACTTGGTGACTTGTATTTGGAAAGCTTCCTCTGGAGCTCCCTTTGAGTGGGATCCCAGGCAGGTGGGTTCTTCCCATTGGGTTCAGGGATGGTGTCCGGAAGAAGCCTGTATGTCACTTGGTCCCTGGATGCGAGGCCATCCCTCCGGGCTCCAGTTCTAGCTACACTTCTGTGCACGCTGTTTGGGCAGGGGGCCTGGGCCTGGGCAGGTGGACCCACTGGCTTCTGACTGGCGCCTCCCCAAGCAGACACAGAGCTGGGGGCACCAGCCAAGTCCTGGCATCACCACCCTGGCGATGGAGCTCAAAGTCCACTCTTCCTTGATGGGGCCCTGCAAAGAGGTCTCCCTCCATCACATCCAGGGCCAGGGCAGCCTGGCTGCCAGTGTGCTCACTCGTGTGCCCTCTGCTTGATCACCTGGGACAGCCTTCTCTTGGGCATCCAGTGCGGGTCACCTTTATGGGGAATCTTGGATTTGTTATTCATTAAGGAACCAATTCACTGAGCTAATGGCAACATGGATGCTTCATGGAAGGAAGACTCTAGATCCTGCTACTCAAATACCACTTTCCCAACCAATGTCCCCTCCCCACCCCCACACCCCACCCCTCTTCCCCCTTCCGGCCTCCCTCCCTCTTTCTGTGCTAGAAGGATGAATGCCCACGTTTCACTGCACCACCAGTCAGCTGGGTTCGTGGGGGCAGAGGAGCCGTGAGCAGTGAGCTTCTCCCTCTTGTCACCCACCCCTGGCTTGTCACCTGCTCAGGGAACAGGAAGGAGGTGGGAGAAGCAAGGGCCCACCAAGCAAGTCCGTCATTTCTAAGGGGCAGAAATCCTTGTGGGGACCACAGGCTCCTCCAACTCCTGGGGCTTTGTATTCTTGTGGTTGTTGTTTTGAGACAAATCCAGACTCTGAGGCAAGTCTCCCAAGGGAGGGATGGGGCGAGAGGGAGGCTGTTCAGGGTCTGCTGCTCCCCAGGCCCACCCTCAACCACGCGTCTCTTCCAGGCTCCCGGGAGTCAGCATGCCGCGCCGCTGGGCCCCCCTGTTCCTGCTACTGCTCCAGGGCGGTGAGTAGCTGCTCATGGCATGCAGGGGGAAGGGGAGGCTGGGTGGCCTGTGGGCAGGCTGGAGGCCACAGGGGCGGGCCCCATGGCGTCTGCCCACTCAACACCAGCACAGGTGGTAGCTCCCTCCATCAGCAGAGCCCCCCTCAGCAGAGGGCCAGCAGCCAGGAACTCACGCATCTTCCAGGTGGCCAGGCCATATGAAGATAGTCTTCCCCTCTCATAGGAGGGTGAGAGACTCCATCCTTCCTTTCCACTGTGCTCTCCTTTGTAGGCTCCCAACCTTCAGAGTGAGGAAGTCCTGCCTTTGGTCTAACCTCAGTTTTCCCTTAAGCAAGACTTCTCTAGGAGATATTTTTCAATATATAGGATCCTCGGCAGGCACTGACATTCCCTGGTGTGGGGAGAGAGGCATGGACACCAAAGTGACCAAAGCCAGAGATGTTGCAATCAGAGGTCGAGACGCTGCAGACCAGAGCTGGAGAGACCAGGTGTTAGGCTGCAATCCGGGAAGCCTTCCTAGAGGAGGCGGGGCGTAATGCACAGGTTCACTTGAAGATTGCACTGGAGGCTGGGCTGGGCCAGGGGCCCTGAGCCGCCACTCTGCTGACTCATGGGCATTTCTCTCTGGTTTTTACCAAAAGACCCAGAACCTCAAGTAGCTGCTTCAGGAAACAGATGTTGCCCTTTCTGAGTGGTCAGCACGCCCTCCTGGCTCAAAGGCCTGGGACTCACCCGCTACACTCTAGTGCAAATCCAGAAAGAAGCCCTGCGGCATCCTGCCCAGGGAGCAGTCCCCTCCTCCATTGCCCCCAGGGCCCCGGGGGTCCAGGCTGTGGTGACAGCTTTCAGTGAGGGCCTGAGGTCAAAGAAGATCAGGGACAGGGCCACTGCCACATAGCCAGGCAGTGACAGAGCCAGGATGGGGTCTCAAACCCGCCCTAGTCTGGTGGTCTCCACCGCCTTGCCTTGCTGCTTGTCACGTGCAGGCAGCTCGGGCAGCACCCATATGATGGCATCAAAATACTCACCCCTCCCAAGGGGCCGGGATTTCCCGCTGACAGAGGGGGCTTTGGAGAGTTCATGAGTCACGTGCCCACTTTCCTGCCTCTTACTGGCCTCCTGCACACTTCAGTAACCCGGGAAGAGGGACGGTCCCTGGGCTCTCTGTCTAGGGCTTGGGGACTGGCTGGCTGGATGACTCTGGTCCCTGAGGCTACCTGAATGCGAGTTCAGGGACCGCCATCCTCTCCGCAATGTTCACTCCAAGTTTGGGTCAAACCTTGTCCCTTGGTGGCCTTGAGCGTACCCAGGAATGGCAGCTCCTCTCCCCATTCTGGAGCCTGGAGGGAGAGTAACCAGGATACAAACTGGGGGAAGACACAGCCACACATTAGCTCCTACAGCCTTGGGTTGAGGGACTGTCCAAATCAATGCTCCTTTCTCAGTCCTCAAAGTGCTTCAGGTAACTCTTGTTGCCCCACCTAAGGGTCCTGATTTCCTCCCTGCAGAAAGCTTCCTCCTAGAATAGAAGTTCATTTCTACAACTCAGATCCCGTGGTAGTGGCCTCTGGGAGAACTATATAGAGAAGGACTCTAAGGAGATTCCCAGGAGAGAGTGTAGAGATCGATTAGCAATGCCTGTCAAATATGTGGCTACTGTGCCATGATCGATTAGCCATGTCTGCTGTGTGTGTGTGTGTGTGTGTGTGTGTGTGTGTGTGTGTGTGTGTGTGTGTATTGGGCAGTGGTGGCAAAGAACTAGCTCAGATTAGGTTTTGCCTTTCCTGAGAGAGCAACGCAGAACAGGGAAAACAAGAGGTCTTGGTGCCTCGGTGTCCTCATCTATAAGATGGGTGAGAGGGTAGACTAAAGAACATTTCCAGCCACAGTATCCTCAGCTCTGAATCCAGCTTCTGACCCTGAGTTATAGGCCAGGAAGAGAATGTGCCACCACTTGTTGGGTCTTCATTAGTCAAGGAAAAATAGGGAAAAGCCAGTAAAAATGAATCCACTTAAAAAAGAGGAACACATTTCTGGTAAATAATGAGGGGGTGGAAATGGCAGTAGTAGCACTTAACCTTACAAAACAAAGCAAAACTAAAACTTATCCAAGTTATTTTGTCAACTTTTGAAAGACATTTAATTATGATTGCATCTATATTTTTAGAACAAAGAGTGAAGCCGTTCTTTTGGGAGGGTGGGGTGGATGGGAGAGTTGGGGGGTTGGAGGGCATTAAATCTTCTAACCAAAATTGCCTGAGAGGGCAGTCCGTGCCTCCCTAGTGGTGGTTGGGCAGTCGGGTAATACAGATATTTTGACAAAATTGTTTGGGTTTCTTAGTTTTCGGAAGTTTTTGGCTCTTCAGAGGGCTCCCTGTGTCACTGAGGTCAGTGTCCTGCCTTAGACCAGCTGCGGTCAAACTGAGACCCCTCCTTCAGAGCTTCCAGTATTTTCAGCAGTGTTCACTGACTTCTCAGAATGTGTGGGTTCACCTGAATCTGGGGAGTTCAAGATAGCCACCCTGAGAGGGAGCCTGGCCAGGAGGGGTGCTGGCCTGGTGGCTGGACTGGGCTCACAGGGAGAATGTGGGGTGGGGACCAGCTCAGTTTATTATAGTTCACATTAAGAGAGTCTTGTTTCCAGAACCAGCCTTGACAGTTGGGGATTCAAAGGATTTTTCAGGTGGCAAAGGCTCCCTTGCTCTCCTTTCTCTAGGCCCATATCTTAGCAGCTCCCAAGTCCCCATAGTCATTGGGTCCTTGAACCCCTGTATCCACTCATCCTCCAGCCCTCGAGGGGGCCAAGGGGTAAGCTTCCCTGCAGCCTGCGGCCTCCCCGTCATGGCCTCTGTCTCTCTGACCCTCCAGCATGGGCCTGCTCAGATATCGACTGCTACACTGATTACTTCCAGACGGTCACCTGTACCATGGAGACAGTAACCTTCCAGCCCGGCATGCTCACCCTAACCTGGTAAGTGACCAGGCCTTGTCAGACCTGGGGACTCTACTAGGGTAGCCCCTGAAGGGCCAGAGTGGGGCAGAACTACCCCTGGTTACAGATTGGTAAGGCAGACTTTATTCAAGATCATCATGTTAGGGGTCATGCAGTAGAGGAGAGATGGCTCAATTCTGATCACAGAAAGGAAAACTGGGCATGTGCAGCCAAGGAGCTGGGTGGAGTCTGTAGATAGAAAATTATTGAGAGGAAACAACAGCTGTCTGGGGAACCCAGATGCTCCCTGGGGGTGGTGGAGGAGGATAAACCTGGTCAAATACTGAGGATGGAGGATTTTGGATAAACTGACTTAGCAAGATTCTTGCTCAAATTGGACAATGCAGAAACAGGCGTGCATACTCAAAAGTCAAGGCCTCGATAAGGAAATAATTCAGAGAAGCCAGAATAGAATTTGATCAGGAGAAAATCTTGTTCTCTATGGTGCTCAGGATAAAGAATAGTTGGTTTTCTTTCTGTCATCATGCATCAATCATCCATCCATCCATCCATCCATCCATCCATCCTTCCATCCATCCATCCATTACAGCTTGTTAAGCTCCTGCTTGCACTGGGGGTTCAGTAGAACCCAAGACCAGGAAGGTCCCAGATGTCCTGGAGCTGATGTTCTGCAGTGGGGTGTGGCTGGGGAGACAGACAGACATTTAAACAGCCCACACGTGCTTGCTCGTAACAGTGAGTGCTGTAAGGCACAGGAGTCTGGGCCGTGGGGTAGCGAGGAAGTGACAAGGGGGAATGGTCAGGGCAGGCCTCTCTGGATGAAGAGGAGGCAGCCAGTGAATTGGGGAAAGGGTATTGCAGGCAGGGGCACTGCTCGGGCAAAGGCTCTGGGTCTGGGGAGAGGGGAAGAGCTGGTGAGTTTGAGGACTAGCGAGGAGGTCAGTGTGGCCAGAGCCGAGGGACCCAGCGTGAGGAAGGATCGCCAGCACAGAAGGTGAGAGGCAGGCAGGAGCCAGAGGTGACTGGATGGGTGGTAAGAAACCACTGGAGGATTTCAGGCCCAGGTGACAGGGCGTTTCTGAGGGTCCCCTAGTTACTGTGCAAGAGGAGTGGCGGCAGGACAGCAGGGCCAGGGGTACCGGCGGGCAGCCACCGTGGTGCTAGGTCAGAGGCTCGGACAGCATTCAACTAGCTGAAGTGGCTATTTCAGCCAATGTTTAGCAGACAGCTGAGTCCACACATCCAAGTCAGCACTGGAAGGTGGTCGTTTTCAGCACTTGAAGATGTACATGAGAAAATAAATAGCTGGTGAACTCCCGGAGAGACTTCAAAGCCCGTCATTTCTCCCCAGTGAGAACTGAAAAGTCAGAGCATCCTCTCCACACCATAGCAACAGCCTCCTGGGAAGTCTGCTCAGAACAAGAAGTGGGGTTCCTCTGACTCATCTTGGCCATTGTCACAGGCACTTACTAGGTGTTCGGAGGGTGATGGACAGAAGGGCGGGAAGGAGCCTTGACATGCTTAGCGCCCTTGACAGGAACAGATTTAAGCTCAGTCCAGGCAAGAATGACCCAAGTTTACGAAGTTGAGGGCGCTTCAGAGGGGGGATACCCTCCCGGGAGAGGGGCAGCTGTGGCAGCTGCACCTCAGATGCACGGTCGATCCTTCCCAGTCCCACTATTCTGGCTTTTGCCTGGGTCCTGCCTCCTGAACCCCACCAGCCTCCAGCCATGACCGACCGCCCTGTCCTTGCAGGCGAGACCCATTTGGAGAGCTGACGGACGAGGTCACCTCCTGCAGCCTCCGCCAGTCCCCCCTCAATGCCACGCACGCCATGTACATGTGTCACATGGATGTGTTGTCCTTCGTGGCTGATGACAGTTTCATCGTCAACGAGACAGACCCGTCCAGCGGCTACTCCCAGGAGTGTGGCCACTTTGTCCTGGCCGAGAGCAGTGAGTACCCTGAGCCCCCCAAGTTAGGAGGCCGGGCCCCACGCCCCCTGGGTCGGCCCTCCCCCGCTGCCATGACCCCTAAACTCCTCTGAGCCCTGCTGGCACTGCTGTTGGCTCAGGGGAGAGGCTGATGCAAGGGAGCCGCACCCAGCCCAGGGCTCACCCGAGGGCACACAGGTCTGCTCCTCCTGACCTCATGAGCGGTGGGGCACCCGATCTTGCCCTGCTGCAAAATCTCACCCGGTTTATCTTTCTGCCCTTTTCCTTGAAGTCAAGCCCTCTCCCCCTTTCAATGTGACCGTGACCTTCTCGGGACATTACAACGTCTCCTGGAGCTGCAACGAGGAAGCCTATACGCTGAAGGGCAAGCTGCAGTACGAGCTGCAGTACAGGCTCCTGGGAGGCCTCTGGGCATCGGTGAGGCGGCAGAGAAGCTCGGGGAAGTGGGGGCCAGTGCACAAGCATCCGGGTGTCGGGGGAGTGGGCAGCTGAGCTTGCCACTCGTAGCTGAGTTGGGAAGCCAAGGACACCCCTGGAGGAAGCTATTCCTTCCCTCTCACCCCCGCCCCTGCCCTTTTCTCCTGGGGAGGGAGGCCCCTTCAGATCCATCCCTTGCCCTCCCTGTTCCCTCCCCCTCAGCTTGCCAAAGAGACTGTCCCCAGGCTGAGGACTGTCCACCGGAGGCTAGGACAGTCACAATAGAGGACGTCTCAGAAGCAGGGTCCTCTGGCACCCTCTCACTTTCTCAGGACACCCACAGTTAAAGCGAGTATCCATCCTCGACAGAGCTCAGCGTTGCAGGGACCGCTGTTGTTTCAAGTGTAGAGGCCTCTACGGGAGTCCTCTGCTTAGCGTCTTGGAGACTTCCAGAAGAGCCCGCTAACTTAGAACAATCTCAGCTGAAGAGTCTAGAATTACCCATCCTTTAAAATGGTCCCAGGCGAAGATTTACACAAATGCTGTGCTTTGGAATGTCCCTGCTGGAAGACTTCCAGAAGCATCCATTGCTAAGATGCCTGCTGTGGAACACTTCCAAAAATGGGGCTCTCGTGCACACCTGCTGTTGAACATGTCCACTGACTGGATGTGCCTGTTAAAGAGTCCCAGGGTGCCCATTGCTGCTTCTGGGATGCTCACAGTCCCAGCAGGGAGGGTGCCCACAATTGTCTGGGCAAGTGGGACTCGACAGAAACAGAACCAAGCATTGCGGCGCATCTGGCCCAGGCAGGCCGGCGCTGTGCTGCCACACTGGGGTGGCCAGAACTGGGCTCAGGCTGATTCTGGACTGCAGGAGAGAATTGGCCCTTTTCGTGGGACTAGTAGGCCGGTGACCTGGGCACCCCCAACCCTGTGCCTCGTGTCCCTGTGTTGGCAGAGTCCCGAGAAGAAGCTGATCTCCGTGGACGTGAGAAGCGTCTCCCTCCAGCCTGTGGAATTCCACCAGGGATCCAGATACGAGCTGCAGGTGCGGGCAGGGCCCCAGCCCGGCTCAATCTTCCAGGGGACCTGGAGCGAGTGGAGTGACCCCGTCGTCATTCAGATCCAGTCGGAAGGTGGGTAGGAAGTGGGTGGACCCTGACTCCTTGTACCAAATCTTGGCCCAATGGTGCAGCTGCCCCACTCTCAGAGATGTTCAGCCTGGCTGGAAGGAGGGGACACTCCCCTTCTGCAGCATTTCTGGAGCCCCTGCAGGCCAGGTCCTGCGTGGGGTGCCTGCAGCTTCTCCTGGCAGGGCCTTTGCCCCTGCCGGTCTCTCTGTGAAGCAGGAATCCTCACCCCTAGTTTGCAGATGAGATGAAAGAAGCTTGGAGAAAGCAGGAGGGAGCAGGGTTTGCACCCAGAATCATCTTACTCAAGGCCAGCAGCTCCCCGCACATTTCCTCCCTGCCTGGACCCACTGCCCACCACACCCCCCGGCAGCCTCTCACAGAAGGTGGTTTCATTTCACCCAATATTCGCTTCCTTCGCAGAGATAAAGAGATACCTGATGGCTTGCTTCTTCTTGGTATTCATAGCCCTTGCCCTCTTCTTCTTAGTCCAGAAGAACCACCTGCCTGAGAGGTGAGCCCCAGGATTTGGGGAGGGGGTCAGCCTGGGCCACAGCCCCCAGGGGTGGGGACATGCCTGCCACCCTGACTGTGATGGTGCCTCTAGTCACCTGCACGCAGGCCTCCAGGCCCTCACCGCAGCCTCAGCAACTCAGCAGGGCTCTTGCCTCCATTTGACAAGGGGAGAAACCGAGGCCTTGAGCCTCAGTTACAGCCCAGTGGCCCCTATGAAGGGGGAGAGTGGGATTTGAACCCTGTGCACGCTGCAGTGCAATGCCAATGAATTTTGAGCTTTGAGTCCTGGGGTCATGGGGGGTCCCCAGGTGGGGGTGATAACTGTTGTTTCTGCTGAATGTTGCCACTGAAAAGCACTCCCCCCTGCTCTAGGCTACTGTTTGCCCAGCCCTCGCTAAGTGGCTGGCTTGGGCGGGGCTCTGCCTCCCCAGCTCATTTTGTTCAACTTCATCTAGGGATTGAGGCCAAGGTGGGGGCCACGGGGAGAGCTCCTGCTGCAGAATCTGGGCTGTCAGGGTGCCCCTGGGTGCTAGCAATGTGAAGTGGCCCTGCCTGCCCCGAGCCAGACAAGGCAGCCTGTGCCCAGCACGGGGCAGGCACCTACAGGAAACCAGCTGCTCCCATTTTATAGACATGAAAATTGAGACCAGGAAAGAGACAGAAGGTGCCCCGGGTGTCTTGGAAGGTGCTGAACCTCCTGCAGTACAGGGTTGGGGAGCACCTGATGGGGGTGCCAGACGGCCCTCCAGGAGCTGGGTAGCTTACTTGCTTCTGCCCTCCCAGGCTATGGAACAAGGTGTGGGTGCAGGTGCCCAGCCCAGAGAGGTTCTTCCAGCCCTTGTACGTGGGCCACAGAGGAGACTTCAAGGTGAGTGCCCCTGCCCCATGACCACCTAGGAGCCTCACACCCTCCCTGGGAGCTCCCTGCACTCTCACGCCAGGATCCCAAGCCCTCCCAGAGTGCCAGCCCTGCAGCCAGGCCCGGGAGCAGATCTGGTGTGAGAATTAGCTTGATCACACAGCATTTCCCAGCCCCAGGAGCCAGATAGGTTAGGGGGGGAACCACGCGTTCTCAGTATCTTGAGCCACAGATTGGCCTCCTAGTACTTAAAAGCCATAGATACGGGGGTGGGGTGGGGTCTGGGAAGGGTAGAGCGCTGCTTGCAAAATACACCAACCCTCCACCAGGCTGCCACCTCCGCCATCACCCCGGGCGCCCACGGCTGCTCTGTGCCCATTTACTGCTTGGCACCCACTCAGAGTGGGAGGGCTGCCCAGAGAGGATGTGGTGACAGTGGGAGGGGATGCCACACACTAGCCCAGCCTGGAAGTCAGGAAGTGTGGACTAGAGCCCTGGGCGAGTGCCTGCTCTGTGCCTGGCCCCTGCTCTGTGCCTGAGCGCCCTCACTGTGGCCCCTGAGGACACACAGGGAAAAGACTCAAAGCAAGAAGTGGTTTTTATGGGTCAGAGGAGGAGCCTGGACTCCAGCCCACGTGGGAGCCTTCCCACTTTCCCCTGTGACTTCCCTGCCGCTCAAACACCACAGCTCTTTTGTGTTCAAGACACACACAGGGCACTGGCTGCGCGTCAGGCACTCTGCCCGGAGCCCCACAGACACAGGCTCACTTGATCTTCACACAGCCCTGTGTGAGGGCCTTCTACAGATGAGGCACAGAGAGGGTGGGTAACTAACTCAAGGTCACACAGCTACGAGTGACTTTGTGTCGGTCATGGCGACCTCATCGAGTTCTTAGATGAGTTTTTGAGGAAGTTGGCCCAAGTCGGAGGCTAGGGTCTGCAGGGGTGTTCTAGGCCAAATGGATGGAGACCCCATGTCATGATGGGACCCCAGCAGGTGAGGCGGTGGGGGGGTCCTCAAAGCTTGGGGGCTGCAGCCTCAGCTCCATCTCTTACCCATCAAGCACACAGAAGACTTTCCAAGTGGGTCATTGGTTCACTCGGCTCATTCATTTCATTAACAAACACCTGTTGGGCACCTGCTGTTGTTTGCCAGGCCTAGTGTGCCCCCCTGTTAGTACAGCCCAGCTGAGTGTCCCCGTTAGTGCAGACACAAACAGGAGATTTCAGATTTACCTTAGAGGAAATGAATCAGCGGGCCAGGTGGGGGCTCTGGCACTCAGACCTCAAGCCCTCAGCCTACCCCGCCCCCACCATGCAGGACTCAACTCTGCATGGCCCTCGTACCACCAGTGAGCTGGCAGGCTACGGTGGCTCCCTGCTCCAGGTGGGAAACTGAGGCCCAGAGAGGAAGTGCCTGTGGTGGAGACCATCCCTGGACAGGGGCGCCCCTTTTTCTTGACCCCTCCACCCCCATCTGCCTCTTCATATTCTGGCCTCTCTGTCCCTTTGCCTCTTTGCCTTATCTCTACTTTTCCTGTCTCTCTGTTCCCACCTTAATCCAGTCTCATTCATGACCCTTTTCTGTCACAGAAATGGGTGGGCACACCCTTCACTGCCTCCAGCCTGGAGCTAGGAGCCTGGAGCCCAGGGATGCCGTCCACCCTGGCGACGTATCGCCACTGCCCACCACAGAGCATGACCAAGGGGCCAGAGCACACAGAGCTGCCGAAAACTACAGAGCTGGTAGAAGCCGATGGGGTGGCAGAGCCGGATGCCCACGGCCCATCTGTGCCCCTGGCAGACAGCTTGGGTGGCTCAGCTGACAGCCAGGAGCGGGACCGGCCCTACGGCCTGGTGTCCATTGACACGGTGACCGTGATGGGTGCTGAGGAGGCCTGCCTGTGGCCCTGCACCTGTGGGGATGATGGCTACCCAGCCCTGAACTTGGACAGCAGCCTGGAGCCTGGTCCAGACACGGAGGACCCTCTCTTGGGCACAGGAACCACAGTCCTGTCCTGTGGCTGTGTCTCATCAGGGGGCCCTGCTAAGCTGGTGGGTCCCCGGGGCAGCCTTCTCAACAGGTTAACGATGCCCCTTGAAGATGAGGCCGGCTGGGCCCCAGGCCCACCCTGGGCTGACCAGCTGACCTCGGGGGTGTCTGACAGTGAGGCCGGCTCACCCCCAGCCGGCATGGACATGGACACATTTGACAGCGGCTTCGCGGGCTCTGACTGCGGCAGCCCCGTGGAGTGTGACTTCACCGGCCCTAGGGACGAAGGGCCCCCCAGGAGCTACGTCCGCCAGTGGGTGGTCATGGCGCCTCCGCCTTCGGGACTTGTGAATGAGGCCAGTGAATGAGGCTGCCTGGCCCTCCTGGGTCAGGTGTGTGAGCCAAGATGGTCACCTGGGCCGAGCGAAGATGCTGCCCTTGGTCTCCGGGCGGCTGTTGACACAAATGGCTATGGCTCAGGTGCCACTGAAGTGGCCATGTGTGGGCAATGCAAAGCCCACGGTCACTCCACGAGCCCCAGGCCACACGTGTGTGAGCCTCCACGAGTTCCCTGTGTACACGAAAACGTGACTGGGTGCACATGACAATAGCCCCCTGTGTTCCCGGCGCCTGTGGGCCCTGGGCTGAGAGGCTGGGACCAGGACCCCGCCTGAGACAGGCACCGAGCCAGCCCTCCAGGTCCTGCCTCAAAGTCCACACTTAACTGAGGAGGTGTGAGCCAGTTCCTAGATCTTGTAAACAAATGTTACCTCAGAAAAAAAGATATGTCTTTAAGAAGTCTGCCCGGCTCCTTATTGCCTTCTATGGGGAAGCGGATGGGGCTGGAAGAGCACCTGGGGGCCTGAGGCGGGAAGATTAAGGGGTTGTGGGGCATAATCCTGATTGATGCCTCCTGGCTGTGCCTCCCTTGGCCGGTCACTCTCCCTCTCTGGCCTGGAGTTTCCTCTGGACCATGGTGGGTGGAGCGGTGATTTGACCCAACGTGGGGAGAACCGGGTGAGGGCACCCACGTGCAGCGTGCAGCCCAGAACAGACCCTCCTTCCTTGGGCAGGCCCAAGGCTTGTGCTGGAGGTGGGTGGGGGTGAGAAACCAATCACAGAGGCTGCCCGCTGGCCCGGCCAGCCCTGGGGGAGGGGTAGTTCCAGACTTGAAACCAGGGGGCCTTGTCTCTTAGAAACACCCTCCTCCCACTGCATTTCCTTCTCTGGCTCCTGCTGTCCCTTTTAAAGTTCCCTTTATGCACCTGTGAAAGAGTGAGCACCGAGTGTGCTCATGGAGGGAGGCACAACCCCCCTGGGCCTCCCCTTGACACATTTTAGGGACCAGGTAGGAATCTACGCCCTTTCTCCTCCCCACCCCACCAGCATTTTATTTACTCATCCTGGGGAACTAAAGGGAAGTCAGGTCCTCCTGGTGGAGGATTTGTGAGAGAACCTGTTGAAATATGGATTAAGAAGCTATGAAAATACTTCTTAGCACTGTTTTGAAGAAACCAAACACCAGTTTTGCACAGGAACTAGATATAAATGTACACAACTCAAACTTAAAAAAATCTTTTCCCTATAAGGGTGCTCACATGTGCAGGTGCTTTTTCAAGACCACCAAACAGGGTTAAGGTGGCTGAGGGTGTGATTCGGTCACTGGTGCGCAGAGCCCGAAGGGAAATCCCCAGCCTGGAACCACCACTGTTCTCCCCAGAGGCCAGGCCGCAGGGCGGGGCCTGAGAGGCTGAGTAAGTCAAGCTGAAAGCATCTCTGTTACTCCTCTGTAAAATGGGGTGACAGAGAACACAAGAGTCCTCAGTGCCTGGCACAAAGCTGGAAAGTTCTAGAACACTGATGGTTTTACTAGTGGGACTACCCACCTGGGATGAGGGTGTGTAAGGCTCAGGTGGCACACAGCTGAGTGTGAAACTACAGCTCCTACCCTTGAGAACAGCCCTCACCATTCCCCTACATGGCCCTGGAGGCACTTCGGCTCATACTCTGCACCCCAACCCCTGTGGTTTTTCACACCTTCCTGGGGGCAATAGCCTCCAGGTGTCACATGAGCCACAGGCAGGCTCCTGGGGAAGTGATCTGACAGAGCTCCCGGCCAGGGGGCAGGGGAGCAGTGGGGAGACTGACGGAGGCCAGATCTCGGGTAGATGAGGTGGGGGAGGGGCCCCAGCCTGGGCCAGGTGTGGCTCCTTAACCACTCCATCTTTGAAAGGGGCTCATCTCACAAACACAGGGCCAGAGACAAGAGTTGGCCCACCCAGGAGGAGGGCTTAGCAGGAGGTACATGGGGGGCGATGGGTGCATCCGTATGGGTAGGTGGGTGGGTGGACGAGTGGTGAATAGTTGGGTGGATGGAGGATGGAGTTAAACATGCTAGAGACAAAGATGATAGATCAAGCTCAAGCTCCATGAGGCAACGACTTTGGCTCTTTTGTTCACTGCTTTATCCCCAGTCTAGTACATATTAGGCCCTCAATAAATGAATCCTCTCACCCCACCGCACCTCTGGCCTGTACCCCAGTTCTTGGATGCATAAATAAATAAATCTTAAAAAAAAAAAAAGGTGCGATTGGCAGTGCTCGCTTATTCCCAGGGTGTAAATAATCACACCGTAGCTATCACCCGATGACCCTGACGGTGGACTTGGGAAGAGGTCAGTTCAACTGACCCTCCTGGCTGGTCTGAGGCAGGGCCGCACACCCCTGGGAGCAGCCCAGGGGGTGTCAGGAGGGACCGGGCAGGGGGGAGCTTTAGGGAGGAGGCAGTGTCCCGCCCGCCGTTGAGAAATGAGCGGGAGGGTTTAGGCTGTGTAGGCAGCAGGAGGCGCTGAGCAAAGGCTTGGCAGTGCAAAGGAGTATCAAGCGCAGGAGGTGGTGAAAGCAATCCTTGCTCCCCACATCCAGCCAGAATTGCTAATGCGCCTCTCCCTCGAGGCAGGAGGATAGACAGCAACACCCTCGAACAGACGCCATGTTCTCCCGCCCCAGCCCTCCTCCACGTAGGCTCGGAGGGGCAGGGACACCCATTGGACAACGAAGGTGCGGCGTGGACTGGTCCCAATTTCTGCTGGAAGGAACCCGGGTCAAGAGGCCAGAAACTCTCAGCAACCTGACCTGTGGATGGCTATGCAGCATTCTCGTGGGGGTGATGACCCCAGCTCTTGGAGGGGTGATCCCCTGGCACAGACTTGTGACCCCAGCTGGTGTGCACTGTCTCCTGGGCCTGCTCAGCTGTCAGGATGGACTAAGATGCCTCTCCCCACTCCCAGCCCCTGCACCCGTGTGCAGAGCTCTGGAGGTGCTAGAGAGAACCAAGACTACAGCCCCCTGGACTTTTGAGGTACATGGTATGGAAACCACTGTGCCATTCACCCAACATTTCTAGCCTTGCCCTGCCTCTGTGTGTCGCTGGGCAGTAAAGCCAAGACCGGCTGGCGAGCCGCCCGCAGTGGTAGGCCTCACCACCTCGCCCACCCTCCTAGCCCAAGTCCCTCTCTGCCTAGTCACGTCGTTGCTCAAATGCCACCTTCTCAGGGGGACCTGCTCCGCCCCTTGTTCAGGACCACAGCGGGCAGCTGACCTCCTCTTGTCTCTTTCAATCACAGTTATTATGTGCTTCACACACCTTCCCTGGTGTGTGGTGTTTGCCGTCCACCCACTAGCACAGTAAGTCCGTCCATTTTATTCCCCGCCTCATCTCAGAGCAGCAAATGCCTGGGCCTGCCGGCCTGACCGCAGGACCAAGCTGCAGGGAAGCCACGGACAAGGCAGTGGGCGGGGGAGGGCGGGGACCAAGTCCAGGAGAAACCATCTGCCTGAGGGGGACATGCAGATGGAGCTGGGGGTCTGCCTGGAAGTCTTAAGTGGCATAAGCGACGCCCCCCCCCCCCCCCGCCCCATGGCTCATACCAAGGGGTAGTGGGGGCCTCCTGCAAAATGGCCACCAATTTGAGGGTTTATTTTAAAAATTGATGGCCCCAGAGAAGAAACCTTTGTGTTCTGCTAGATAGGGGTCCCCCAAAGCAGACCCCACCCCTGAAAGTGGGTCTTTCCCACTGAAGGCAGGGCTCCGAGGCCCGAGCTAGAATCCCAGCAGACCCAGTGATCAGCTTCCAAGCCGCAGCGTTTATCTTCCTTCCTGTGTGGTTTCCTCCAACCTGAGATGCGCGCGCTGATGGGACGACTCCTTGGGCGCCTGTGAGAACGGAGTTAATGTGTTTACAGTGCTAAACGCAGCATCTGGCACACTGACAGCAGCCAGAAAATGTGGTTTTGTCATCATTTCTATGGACAAGTCACCCCCACCCCAGAAAACGTTTGCTGGTCTCAACCTTAACAGACAAGAAACAGACACCAGGAGACCGAGGTGAACCAGCAGGGAACGAAGCTGCTGGGCTGCTGGTGCCACCTTCTGGTGTCGGCTGGATCTGGGCGAGTGTGGGCTGAGGGAGGGAGGGGCCCCTACTCTGCCGTCCAGGATGCTGTCAGGAGGCTTATGCACAACTGTCACAGTGACGCTGTGTGGTGGGAATATGGTGATGAGGACACGGGTGGACTGGCAGGTTCTTTTCAATTTAACAAGGGCTGACTTCTCCTTGAGTGGGTGGACCTGACTCAGGCACTGGGTGGTGCCGGGAGATCACACACATGTGCACACACGTACGAACACGCACACCACACACACATCCACATAGACGCCACACACACACACACACATACTACATATGCACACATCTGGAAACCCTTGGCAGAGTGGACCAAGGCGCTGAGGGCGGGCCGTGAGGGGCAGAGGACAGACATCATTCTGAAGTGAGGCTGGATGGGAGGACGGGGAACTGGGAGGCAGTAACAGGCTGAACAAGCTCTCAGGAAGGAAGAGGTAGAGCCCCAGAGGCGTTGTGGGGTCCCATGGGGGAAACAGGAGGCAATTTCAGGGTGGTGAGCAGAAAAGGGGATGACCCAGGATACCAGTGCTGGAGGCTTCACCTGGTTAGGAGGCAGCTCTCTGTGTGCTGACATGGGTGTCTTGGGGGTACCCCTAGGGGTTCAGCGCATGCTATATCAATAGGACCTCTTATATAAAATTGCATCGCAGGTTTTCATTTTCTGGTGGGGTGCATAAAATGTAAGCAAGTGCAAAAAAAAATCTGGGAGCTGAAGGAAACGGCAGGCTTCAGTCACAGCTGCAGTGCTTTAAGTGCTGAGAAAGGAACAAGTTAACTACGACTCCCGACTCAGGCGGTAAAAAGAATTAAGAGTAGGGGTGGGGAGGAACCAAATGAACATCGAGCCACACCCTCGTGCTAATTTAATTTGTTTAAAATCTTTCCTTCTAAGTGTGAATCCCTTCACACCTGGGCAAGCACATGTTAGTCTTCTACAGTCCCTACCACCCCCTCAAATTTAACTCAAGACCCCTTCCTATCACTTGTTACTGCCTGGCCCCACAGGCATCTGGGCTCATAGTTTCTGGACTGTGGTGCGGTTCCTGAAGTCCTTGGTGCAGAGCTTTGAAGGGCAGAGCGCCCCTGAATGGATGGATGGATGGGTGGATGCATAGATGAGTGGGTGCACGGATGAGTGAAGGATGGAAGGACGGATGGACAGACAGACCGGTAGATGGATGGGTGGGTAAAGGGCGAGAAGGGAGAACAGGACAGACTTGCACAGACAAACCGTGGGTTTGTCTGACACGGGTGTCTTGGGGGTATGCGGCCTGTGTGCATAGAAGCTCCATCTCTCCACTTAAGAACTGGGCATCCTATGTGCCATGTCTCACTGTAGGGTAAGGAAAAATATCAGGCTTTTCTGCCCTCCCGCCATCAGGATAGATGATGGATCCTTGTCCTGAATGCAGGCCTGATGGCGGCACCTGGAGTAGGGTGTGGGCATAGGTAGATGGGATTCAGCTGAGCTAAGACTGTGCTTTTAAGGGCGGCGTCACGGGGGACGCCAGAAGCAGCAGTAGAAGCCGAAACCGAAGCCGAAGCCGAAGCCGAAGCCGAAGCCGAAGCCGAAGCCGAAGCCGAAGCCGAAGCCGAAGCCGAAGCCGAAGCCGAAGCCGAAGCCGAAGCTGAAAGAGAAGCCGAGAAGCAGCAGAACGAACGCTAGAGAGCCCAGAGAGTGAAGACTTGCTGGGGGCTGGGAGGCCTGCCAGCCTCCCAGCCCCCCAGCCAGCACCTCTGCCTGCCATATGCCTGGTGAACCCCAAATAAAAAAACCTGCAAAACTACTGAGGACTCTGACTCCTCCTTTACCCGGTCTGCATGGGATCAGAAAACCTGCCCTGTGCCCAGTCCTGACCTTACACTCACCCACATGCCCAAACTGTCCTCAGCAAGGAGGCACAGACGTGAGCTGTGCTGACCTCCATTAGGCGCCTGCACTTGGTGTTCCTCAGCTCATCCTCCTGGGAGGGTGAGAATCTATCCCCATTTTTCAAACAAGATAACTAAGGCTCTGGGATGTAGGGTAAGTGAAAAGGTATCAGGCTTTTCTGCCCTCCCGGGACTGTAGGACACTCTTCTCCTTCACCCCGTCTGCATAGAATCCTAGAGATCCTGCACTGTCCCCGTCCTGCCACCACATTTGGCATAAGTCGGCAAGATGATCCACACAGATGGGTATGGAGCCCTCCGAAGACCTCTGGAGGGGCTGACGAGTAGCTGACCGAAAGCCTGTGGCAACGCTGGAGGCGTCATGGCGGCACAGCAGGTGGACAAGGTCTGGGAGCTACAGGACGAGACCTCGCCTGGAAGAGGAGATGGCCTGGGAGGACCAGCCAAGACCCCCGAGGCAGAATCGTCAGGGAAGAAAGGACCGCGATTCGGAGCTCACCAGTGCTGATGCAGGGGAACGGATGGACTTGAACTAAGGGACTTGGACTGACAATCCCGCCAGAAGGCGGAGGACCTTGGCAAGTTAACGTTATATTTTGGGGGCCCTGGGGATGGATGGTATCATTTGTAAACCCCAGGAGATGGGAATCTGGGGTGTAGGGTAAGGAAAAATGTTAGGATTTTCTGCCCTCCCGCCATCAGGATAGATGATGGATCCTTGTCCTGAATGCAGGCCTGATGGCGGGCACCTGGAGTAGGGTGTGGGCATAGGGAGATGGGATTCACCTGGGCTAAGACTGTGCTTTTAAGGGCGGCGTCACGGGGACGCCAGAAGCAGCAGAAGCCAAAAGAGAAGCAGAGAAGAAGCAGAAGCAGAGAAGGCCAGAGAGCCCAGATAGAGTGAGGATTTGCTGGGGGCTGGGAGGACTGCCAGCCTCCCGGCCCCCCAGCACCCCTGCCTGCCATATGCCTGGTGAACCCCAATAAAAGACCTGCAGAAACCCACTAAGGACTCTGACTCCTTCACCCGGTCTGCTGGATCATAGAAAACCTGCTCAGTGTCCTTCCTGCCCTTACATGGGGGTAGCCAGTGGGCGTCAGTGGCCAAAAGCAGCCTGTATACTGCCCAGCAGCCAGGCAGAGGAAAAGCCAACTGAGAAGGCAAAAGCTGGTGCTGAGATTTGGAAGCCATGAGCGGCTGTTACGCAGCTTAAATATGTTGAAGGCCGGTGAGTCTCTTAAAATCACCTGTGGGTGACGCCCTGTTCATTGCTGAGTGAGGGTGAGGAGCTGAGGAACCCGCCCGTGGGGGACGGGGACGGGTGGGGAGCGTGGCTGGTGGTGGAGCCCACAGCCTAAGAGGGGACCCAGGAGAGGCCGCCTGTGGAGCTTGTGTCCACGGATCCCCGGCCCAGGTGCTTGTGCAGTGGGGTGGCCTGAGTGCAGGGGTCTGCGAGTCTCATCGGCGGCTATGAAGGCCGAGTGTTGGAGCGACCGCAGACAGAAACCCTGAGGACCGGGCGATTACCCCCAAAGTACAGAATCGCCAATCCCAGAGTGAGTGTATCCTGGGGGTGGATGCGGTGTGTGGCTTGTGGCCGAGACCACAGCTGGAGAAGGCCAGGAAGCCTGACGGCTCCTGGCGTGTGATGGCAGATGTCTGAGCGGTTCCCCTCCCTCGCATGAGCACTGCCTTCAGCAGCAAGTGGTGGATCATCTGCTGGTGCCACTAATCTTGTCTTTTGCCACTAGGTTGGTGCCCTGCCTGGACTTATTTGTGTTCTGTTGTATTTTGTTGTTATTTTGTGATGTATACTATCTACTTTTATGGGCCATGGCTGCAGTGCTCGTATTCGCCAAGAGAAACGTGTGTATAACATATAAACTGTCCGCCAGAAAACCCTGAGGGGGTGGACTGTAGGTATGTAAAGTATCAGGCTTTTCTGCCCTCCCGCCATTAGGATGGATGGTGGATCCTTGCGGTCCTGAGGGCGGGCACCTGGAGGAGGGTGTGGGCATATGTAGATGGGATGCACCTGGGCTAAGACTGGGCTTCTAAGGGCGGCGTCACGGAGACGCCAGCAGAAGCAGAACCACGAGAGGAAAGAGAAGCAGAGAGACCACCAGGCAATGCCGGAGAGCCCAGACAAGAGTGGAGACTTGCTGGGGGCTGGGAGGCCTGCCAGCCTCCCGCCCTGCTCCCCCAGCACCCCCGCCTGCTGTGTACCTGGAAAATCCCAGTGGAAGCCTGCAAAAGCCACTGTAGGCTCCAGGACTCCTCCTTTACCCTGTCTGCTCGGGTCATAGAGAACCTGCACTGTGTGCCCTTCCTGCCCTTACAGATGTGAAAGTCAAGATGGATTCCCAAATCTGCCTGCCTTCCACCACACACTGCGTTCCCAGATAGAGGGTTTGCAACGACACTTGTTTATAAAGCAGATCCATTCATTTTCTACTTGATCTCAAAAAAACTCTCCCCAGGCCCTCCCAAGTCTTCCTGGGAACATCCATTCCTGCCAGTTCTGCAGCTAAAAGCAAGGAATCTCCCAGAGGAGCGAAGATTCCTTAAGAAACACAAAACTAAATGCGTTTTACTTCACTTTAATTAAAAAATAAATACATGCCAGGAGATTGTTTTTTTTAGTGAGGGGAAAGGTTGACAAAACAAAACCAACTAACTCCAAGCCTACAGGAACTCCTCGCTTCCAGCCAGCAGGTGCCTACTGGGGGGCTGCCAGGCGGAAAAAGGGCCTGCAGACTCCTCTTTGGGCGGCTCAGTTCTAGCCTGGGGTGAGCTTATCACTGAGGAAACCCTCGGCATCAGGGCACACCCCACTGTGACACCCCACCCACTAGGGCCCAGCCTCTCAGGGCACTTGGGCTTCTGGGGAGCACAGGGAGTCTGCCATGGTGGCTGTGGTTGGGAAGGTGAGGTATGCAAACCCCAGCACCCAGAGGTCCCTGCCCTGCTGGCAGACAATGAAGTACCGAGGTTCCTACACAAGGCTCCAGGGCTGGCCAGGCAGTTCTGCTCCCAAATGGCAGCCCCACATTGGGAGCCCTTGGAGGATAAGCCCAAGCTCAAACTCACCACAAGCCAAGTTCCACAGAGAACGCCAGGCAGCTCCACTGAGAACAGGTGACGAGGCTGAGCCCGGGAATGAGAGAAGAGCAGACTGACCTTGCAGTTGCTCTCCCCGACTCTAGGTTTGACAAAGGAGGGTCCCTAGGCCCAGGCCAGAAGCAGGCAGACGGGGGCTTCTCTTCCCCAGAGTTCCAGGCGGGAAACCACAGCAGGGACGGGAGGCTTGACACAGTCCTGTAAGCACCCAACCTCACCGGGCCCATGCACACGAGGGCATGAGCTCAGCCAGTAAAGCTGGCTCCCTCCTCAGGAGTCAGAGGCAGGAGAAGGGGCCTGGTGACCACCTGGGCCTCATAAGTGGACCCACTTGTTCCAGTTGACCTCGTGAGGGAACACACGGCCCAGCCGGATGGTGCAGTCCAGGGTAGGCTCGTAGAACACCGTGGCGCTCTCGTGCAGGCTGCAGGGCACATCTGTCCCCTCAAACTCCAGCTTAGAGAAGAGCGAGGGGGGCGCGGGCTTTCTCAGCAAGCGCTTTTTAATGCAGCCAAGGAACTGCAGGCCCTGGAGACACCACAGACAGGTTTAAAGGTGAATGTATGGTTCTTATTCTCTGTACCGGGAGCTGCTTCCTAGAACAGGGGACACCTGAACGTGGCCTCTAGGCAAGAGGAGAGAAGATGGTGACTGGCCTTTGTACGCTGGGACAGTGCAGTGCCAGGGCCATGGACTGGCTTCCCATGGACCAAAGCTGGCTTCCAGATGGGGTTGTTTGACCAAACATGCCAACTTCCACACTGAACTTCAAGCCTCCAGCTCCTATGAAGGAGCTGGGGTCCACGGGTACACTGAGCTGGGGGTGTGCGGGCCAACAATCCAGGCAAGCCAGGACAGCTGCCCTCGGGAGCCATGAGCTGGTCCCCAATTCCTCCACTACCCACAGGGCTCAGTGCTCACTGAATGGCTGCCCTTGTGGGCTCGGGAGCCCGAGTCTAGAGCAAGTGTCAGAATAAGGTCCTATAGACGCAGATACGAAGCCTGGGCAGCAGTAAGGAGCGTGCCGAGGGACAGCCAGGGGGCAAGAATCCCAGGGCAGGGGTTGGGAGGCTATAGGCTGAGAGAGAAATGTTGAGAACCAGGCCTGGGTGACCACAGTGCTAAAGGGCAGAGAGCCTGATGGAGGATGGACTGGTCAGCCTCTCCACAAGGCAGAGAAGGCAAAGAAGTTTAGTGGTAAGGGACAGCTGGTGCAGGGGACTCCTGAGGAGCCCGCTCTCTGCAAGGAAGAGATGAGCCAATCTCTGTATCTGCTGCCCTCCAGGCTGCCCTCAGCAGAACCCACCCAGCACAGCAGGGTCCAGGGAGCCAGGGAGCCTGGGGGACGCACCTGCAGCAGCTCGTGCACGGCGATGGGCTGCAGGACGCCCTGGTAGTGCTGCAGCAGGCAGCTCTCAGGGATGCCAGGCCTGGCCATGATGTGGTACAGCACCGCCTCCATCATGCCCTTGCACACCGGCGTGTTCAGGTGGCCATCCACGATGCGCCATGGGCGGCCGATGAAGGAGATGCTCTCGCAGTCCCTGTGGGGTGGGCAAACAGGCGTCCGGCTCAGGCTTCTCCAAAGGATTCCCATGAGCCCCGAGGACAGACTCCCCGGCCCTCACTGCCCCCAGCCCACCCCAGGCCTCCCGAGATGGGATCACACTCACTTTTCCAGCATTGCTTGGGACAGGCTGCCGGCCACGGCGCTCTCCAGCACACCTACAGCAGGGCAGGATGTGAGACTCGCGGTGAGGGAGGCGTCTCCTCCTCTCACGCGGCCATACACGCTCTGGGCCTAGGGGCCAAGCGGTGGACCAGAGGACAGCAACCCCGACCCTCGCGGCCTCCCCCCTGCACGGTGGGGCCACAGAGGCCACTGATGAAACACAAGCAAAAAATTGGAAAGGACCTCATGAGCAAGTGTGGGGTGGGGGGTCTGGTTCCCAGGATGCTGAGGAGCCCCACACAGTGGGGGCAAGTGAGCACCTCATCTTACTTCCAGAAGCCCTGACCACAGAGCTGTGTGGGTAAAGTCCTTCGGCAAACCGCCCCAGAGCAACCACACTTTGGAGACTGAGTGAAGAGGCCTGAGCGTGCAGGTGAATTGGCACACCCCACCATTCCCTCGGAATATGACCCCGGATTTCTGCCCCTACTTCCTGACATGGGCTGCCTGAGTAAACCCAGCTTTCCAGAATAGCCTCTAGCGCCTGCAGCCTTCTGCCCTCCACCGAGCATAACAGGCAAGACCTTTCCCCTCCAGGTTTAGGGAAGGAAAGCAGAAGTAAAGGCCCCTTTCCTGGCTAAAGCAGGTTCCCAGTTTGGGAGGACAGGGTGGGGTCAATCACCCAAGGAGAGATAATGGGTGGGGGGAAGGAAGCTGTGGAGACAGGGTTCTGTACCTCTGGGATCTTCAGAGCCCTCTGGAAGCTGGCCCTGACAGTTCAGGTGCTCGTGGGCTAGGGAGCTGGGTACCCCAACACCCTCTTGGTCCACCTGCCCAGCTTCTGGTGCTCCTTGGGGAGGGTCCCCTGTGCCCGCGTCTTCAGGAGCTACAGGCAGAGCAGGCACCTGGGTTTCTGCCCCCGCTTCTGCTCTGGGCTCAGGGTTGGGGGCGAAACGCACATCCTGGCGCGTGGGCCTCTTTGCAGGGGGACTCTGGGTACTGTCAGGCTCTCTACTCTGACACGCCGGCTCAGTGCTGGCGCAGCTGGCACGCCTCTTGGTGCTCCTGGGACCCTGAGAAGGGGGTGTCTGCTTCTGAGAGGGGCCACCCTCACTAGAAGACCCTTCTGCGGGTCTGGCCTGGGGGTCTTCTTTGTGAGCGTCAACATCCTCCTCTTTTAGCCGTACTGAGTGCAGGAGCCAGGGATGGGCATAGGCCATGGTCACCAGGCGAGCTGTGTTGCCGCCGACTTCCAGCACCTGGTGCTGCCCCAGGAGGTCCTAGGAAAAGCAGGGGGTACATGGGTCTGTGCAGGACCTAGGCACACCAGGGCTGGCGTCCCCCACCTGATGAGAGTCACCTGTCCTGACAGACTAGTGTCGGCTGCTGCTTTCACTACCCGTGCGCAGGGCTCACCTGTATGTAGTCTGTGAAGGTTCTGGTGCGATCATCATCTGTCTTCTCAAAGGCAGAGAAGCGTCTGCTCAGCTCCACCTTGTCTACCCCGAAGCAACCTGTGTCCGCAATGGTCCCCTGGATCTCCAGGGCAGCAGATACGTCATCAGGTGTGTAGCCAGACAACTCCAGCTGGCAAACAAAGTCTTCCAGGCTGCAGGCATCTTGGCTATTTATCAGCCTGGTGAACGTGTCAGGGAGGCAGGTGCTGCCCACAATAAGCTCTTCCAGAGAAGTGACTGCAGAGGTGAGGAAGAGGGTAGGGATCAGTCCTGACAGAAGCCCCCTTCTCACACCAGAGCACAAGCGATACCGAGGCAGGAGATGTTGCAGCACCAAGTCACTGCTCCCTAAACAGTGACTGGCCTTCGGGGCGGGCGTATGGGACTCCCTGGGGCCGGTGGAATCCTGCTGCTGCAGCCTCGCACTGAAGAGCACAGGGGTGGCCTGAGAACCCCAGAGCTCTGGAGGGGGATCCTCAACTGCGGCTGCCGGGCGACCTGGTACCCATGCATCCAGTGCTCCTCAGACACTGAGGTACAGGGCCAGCTTTCCCGCTTTCCCTGCGGTTTCTGAGACCATGGCCTGAGGCAGTCACTGCTGCTGCCCGGCCAGCCTCCAGAAAGGGCACTGGTGTGCTTGTGAAGCTGGAGCAGCACTGCCCAGCTCACATGTGAGAACAGAGGTGAGTCAGACTGAGGCAGGAAAGGGCTGGGAGGGAGGGGAGCAGGGCAGGGCAGGGCAGGGCCCAATATTCTTATTAAACAGAAGGAAGAGAGACTGTCTAAAATCCAGGGTGCGGGAAACACGGTGCTACGTAATCTCAAGTCCCAAAGATAATCTACACAGCTGAGAAGTGTGGAAAGTGGAGCTAAAGGACATGAGAGAGAAGGGCCAAGCCGAGCGCTCATCTTCCACAGTGTCAGCAGCTGATGCTTGACCATGTCATGGACATGTACCCTGGAGAGGTGTGGGCACCAAGAAAGGCTGGAGGGGAGCAGAAGGGCCTGGTGACAGGAGGGGGCAGCACTCACCAGCAGGCCCGATCTGGGTGGCCAAGGGGGTGCGGCGCAGCTGGAACTTCACCTGGCAGGAGTTCACCACGATGCTGTCATTGGGGTTGAGGTTGCGGATGCTGACGATGCCGGGGGCACAGTAGCCCCTCATCAGCAGGTAGTTAGTGTGGGAGGCCTGGGGAGCTTTCACCTCAATGTTCTGGCGCTTGCCCCCCGAGGCTTCATCCAAGTCTTCCTCTTCATCCTCTTCCTCTTCCAAGCCCCCATCCTTCCCTAAACTAGAAGAAGAAAAAAGACCTAGATGAGGAATACGAGCTTGTCTGCTACCCCGGCTACCCCTTCTGGGGCATACTTGTCCCTCCCACGGCAGCCTCTGGGTCCCCCTCAGCAACAGTCTGCGCCGTATGCATGCGCCTCTGGCACCTGGCTGTGAATACCAGCCTGCCTGCCTCTGGCTACTCACCCTCACCCACCTCCAGGCCCCCCTGTGCCCAACCCGTCCACACACCTGTGTCTCTGCAAGGGCTGCTCCTTCTACCTGGGAACCTTCCTAGTCTCTGCTCTTTTTTGCCCCTCTTTCCCCTAAATCCCACTTAACTCTTCTGTCCTCAAAGGCAATCCCACCTTCTGCACTGACCCCTCCTTGCCACCCTGTACAGGGCCTTCCCTTTGGCACAGCCACATCAGCCCCTCCCATGGCTCCGGTGTGCAGCGGCAGCAACCAGTGGTAACTCCGGGCCCAGTTCCCACAGCTGAGGCCCCACCTGGGTGCTCCCAAGGTGCCTCGTGCTGCTGACACAATGCACAGAAACTGCCAGGTTTGCTGTGTGAATAAGGACCAGATGGCACCACAGCCCCACCTGTGCCTTAGGCACAGAGCCCACCAGCACCTCAGCTCTTACCTCTTAATGACCTCATTCTCCACCAGTGAGCTGTCCACCACCACTATCTGCTCGGGGATCTTGACATCCACAGACACAAAGCCCAGTGAGAAAAGGGTCAGGGCGGCCACACAGTGTCCTCCCGGGTCATCCAGAGAAAACGCCACCATGCCACTTGTGGAGTCGTTACTCTCCTGGTCTTTGAAGGAAAAGTTATCAGGCTGGTCCACATGGTCGGCAGCCCAGATCCTATTAAAGAACTGGAACGATTCTGTGCAGACGGTGCTTGGAAATCGCCACGTGAAAATCCTACGGACGGAAAGAAGGTAAGGGCCTTGCTGGGGGCAGGACACGGAAAGCCTTCAGCTGCATGGGCTACAAGCATTTCAAAACATTCTGGTCAAAGCTAAACACACAGCTTCTTCCCAAAGGCCTTCTTTTCCATCTCAGACGATAATGTTGTACATCAATCTCTGGGTGTGTGTCCCTACTCCCTGGCCACTTTTAAGGAGTGTCTGTGTCTTTTCATCTAACCCAATGCCTGACCCTTGCAGGCACTCACTAAACACAGGCTGGGAAAGCTGAAGGTACTTTCTATAGTAATAATCCCTACACGAGGCAAGCCCTGAGCCCAGGTAGATCTGAGAGGACAAGGGTGTGTTCCATATCACTTCCATAAGGTGGCTGCGGAGGAAGCCTCTTTCCAACTGTGCCACTTCCATGATCCCATATCAGTAGAGAGAGGGGCCTACGGGCTACAAGAGAGGAACCCAAAGGTCTTCCTGATCTGCTCGCCACTGCCCAGGGGTTCACAGATGTATTCAAGGAAGGGGCTCACGGTCAAATGGACTTTGTTAGACTTGAACCCTATCTTCTGCTTCCCAGGGCATGGTTCTTTTGACTATGTCAGTCACCATCCAGGAAGGCAAAGGAGCCTGAGGGTCACTCAGGATGGTCATCTAGGAAAAGAGTGAGTGTCTGGACTAATGGGCATAGAGATAAATAGAAGCAACAAAAGTCCTCATTCAGTTGTATGCAGATCTCAGCCTCAGTGCAGATCTGAGGACTGGCCGGCAAGGAGACAGCACGGAGAGGGGAAGCCAGTCTAGGCAGAGGGCTGTTAAGGGCCAGGAATTTTCTATCAGGCTTCCTCTGCATGTGGTTAAGGAGACCAGTGATGCAAATGCCAGCCATGTCGGCTGCCAGCGGCAGCGGTGCACCTTTGAGGAGGGGCCCAGGAAGAGGGTCCTCACCATTCCAAACCACCAGTCAGACTGCAGACTACATGATGGCTTTGAAAGGATGTGTGTGAGCCTGCGAGACTGGCTTGGGGCAGCTCTGAGTGTGAGGATTGGGGATGGGTGCTGTGTGGGGGTGCGCTTTGATCTGGACCACTTATTCAATTAGAAACTCATTTTACCCAATTTGATAGAAGAAATGGAAACAAACCACCTGCGAGAACTAGTAAATGTCCCTAAACCCAATATTACAAGTGTCTGGGATCTTGGCCTCCTCCGCCAGGCCGAGGGCCTAGAGCCCACACTTACCTGTAGTAGGTCTGGGACAGCTGGTAGGACATGGGCACGAAGGGCAAAGACCGGTTTTTCTTTGGGCCCAGCGTGTGGTTGACCCGGCGCCGGTTGACCAAGCTCCTTTTCTGGTATTCCATGAAGGCCTTGACAAGAATCTGCTCCTTGTACTCGCGGTAGATGCAGAACGTCTGCGACAGAGTAAGTCAAGCTGTGGTTAGAGCTCTCCTGCTGGCTGGAGGGGAAAGCTGACAAGTGGCTGCACAGAAGCTCTAACTAATCATCTACGGGGCTTAGGGAGGACGAGCGGTCACAAGGGGGCCAAGGGAGAGCCTGGAGGAAGCCACAGTCTCAACCACTCTCAACCATCATGTCACACCTTAGACAACTGTGAAGGCCAGACAAGTGGACAGAGGGAAGGCTCTGTGCCCCATACCACCTATCTGGGCACAAAGACAGTGGGAGTCAGGGCAGAGACTGCTGAGACCAAGCACGCACTAGGTCTGGTTGATTCTACCCTCCAATATTCCCTGATGCTGTCCCCAATATACTGCCCCATGCAGCCATGTATGTCGCTTCCCACTAAGCCTGGGGGTGCTCTGCTTAAGCTGTGGTCAAACCTGGCTGCTTATTCTCCATAGCTAGCTTCCCCCACCCCAACCCTTCCTCATGTCCCTTGGAACCAAGTAACAAGTGCCGCGTGGAGCGCCCACCCAGGTCTGCACCAGAGTCCAGTGTTTCCCCAAGGCAACTGCAATCTCTGGGGTTGAGCCTAGGTCCAGGTGCTGAAAGCTGCAAGCGGACTCCAAGGCACCCCGACATTTGGGACACCAGTTGTCTAAATTCACCAGTGGAATTAGAAATAGTATCAGCCCTTTGTTTTCTGATTTCTTCTCTTACCTTCTAAACTGGGCTGATTTAATAATGCAAGCCAGAGAGTCGAGGTCTAGGATAAGATGATTAAATACAAGTATCAAGACATTCTACTGGGAGTATTTCCTGCCCACAAAAAGACAAGGGAAGCCCTAGCCTGGGGAGCAGGCCCCGTAGCTGCTCCTGGTGGGAGCCTGGTGGCCACACAGAACTGGGGAACAGCTGAGTAATCTTGGGCAGGTTTTTTTCTGAACCTCAGGTTTCCACACTTTAAGAGGACTAATATCCCACCTTCCCAGAGTCAACATGGGGTTGAAAGAGCTATGTCTCCCTCTTTCACGCTATTTGCTCATGATAAAGCAGCATGACAGCTCTGGTAAGTTCTCAAGAAACAGACAAGACTCACTGCCCACTGAAAGGCAGCTTTCCCGTTCAGTCATCTCTAAAATATCCACACATGTTCAGGTTACAACATGGAAAGCCACAGAGAGCTCAACACGCAGCTCCTTTGTCCTATCTCATCTCCTCTTCTGTCTTAATTTTCTCCCTTTAACTTTAGGCGTAAAACTTCAGCACGGGGAGGATTCTGGAGGTCACTGGGTCCTGTGCCCACACTTCAAAGATGAAAGAAGTGAGGGCTGAAGTCTCGGGGGAAACTGGGTGCTTGGATGGTGCAGCTGAGAGGAGCACCGGCTCCAGTGCAGAGCGACCCACCTGGAATGACTGACAGGACTTCATCTGGCTGTCCGAGAGGGCCAGTGTGCTCTGGATCAGGTTCTGGAGCACCAGGAAGTAGATGTCATCCACGCTGAAAGAGGGGAGCAGAGCGACATGAGACCACAGGCCAAGGGATACCGCTGTTCACAGAGGACAGGATCGATTCTCATTAAAACAATTTAATCTCACAATGGTGACATCAATGCCAGTTACTAGTCATAAATCTAAACAAAATAAATGATGGTTTTTAAAGCCTAACTGGTCAATTTTTATAGGAAAAAAGTTTTCATCTAGTGGGTAAAAGGTAACATAACCTTTTTTTTTTTTTTTTTTTAGAGGCATGTTTTTATTTATTTATTTGTTTGTTTGTTTTGTTTATACATGCACTGGGTACAGTCAGAAGCGCGGGAGGGTGAGAGAATTCACCAGAGCCAGAGCGGGGAGCAGAGCAGGCAGAAGGACCGAAGTACACTGCTGAGGGGAGCAGTGGGCGGCAGGAGAGGTCTGCGCGCCATGTGGGACCCTCCTCTGGTGGCCGGGGAGCAGCCGGGGATCGAACCAGCGCCGCAGAGGCTGCGGGCAGCTTCGCAACCCAGCGCTTTACCGCTGCGCCACCGAGGAGGCCCAAAGGTAACATAACCTTTTAAGCCTGTGGACCTTAACCATGTAAGGGTCCCCTGTAACAATTCCATGACAGGCTTACAGGACAACTAGCAGCTGTGGCTGGTCCTTATGTTTTCTTTCTATCCAATTCTAAACCAGCTTTTCCCCCAAAGATAATAGGCTTCTCACTGAACTACAGAACAAAAATCAAACTGAATATTAGTTATCCAAGGTGGAAAACATAAGCTGAGCTTTCTAACCGTTTTGCTTGGCAGTTCCGGTTCCCCAAGGTCTCTGAAGGCCAGGTCAGTGATAAGTTTGGTTATTTGGTTAGGGGTGAGCAAACTTCCTATGAAAGGCCCTGCAGTGAGCATTTTAGTCTTCGTGGGCTGGCCAGCCTCTGTCGCACCCTCTACCACTCTGTGCAGAGCGTGAAAGCAGCGCAGACAACACACAGAAGGGAGATGGCTGTGCCCCGAGAAAAATTTTACTGCCCCAAGCTGGCAGTGGGCTACACTAGGCGCCGCCAGTCCTCAGCCCAAGCAAGCAGCAGAAGGGGTGCGTGCATGCAGCACTTGCCTGTTAAGTTCGTCCTCTTTCCTGATTTGGTCTTTTTCGTCTCCAATCGCCAACACTCGGTACCTGTATAAGAGACGACAGGGCACGTCAGTGGGATGCGGCCGAGCTCCGCCAGCAGAGCCGACGCGCCTAGGGACGGCCATTTGTTGGCTAAAATACTACTCACTAAAGTTCAAACATGTCCATGTAAATTATAAACAAGAAAATACCCTGTTCTGCCTGTCAAATGGAAATGAGGTTGGGAAAATAATGTTCACCCAGTGACTGTCCTGAGGCGACCTGGGGGGATGTGAGCAGACAGGAGCCAGCGCAGGCTGCCGGGAGCAGCAGACTTGGGCTCACTGTGATCCAGAACAAGCCCCGGAGAGAAGACTAGAAGAAAATCCCCAGAAAGATAGTCACTAGGTATTTCCTCAGCTGGTGTTTGAGCATCCTATATAATCTTGTTTTATTGTGTTCACACCAAGCAAATAACTTGCTTTTTTAAAAAATTGTCACTTAATTTGTAAGATGTTTTTTTTGTTTCTATGAAATTATAAACTCACCTTTGCAATAGTAAATTCTTCCTAAAACTTATTAACAACAAAAGTATCTTTTAGAAAACACGTGAACTATATTGAGCAAAAGAAAAAAAAAAAGAATTTGGAACAGTTTTCTTTTTTGCTTTGGCTGCCAGAATGCTATTAAAGTCTGTATGCAGCTATTACAAGGGACCTTCTCCTTAACTCTCGGTGATTTATGAACTCTCCTTTGAAAATCCTTCATTGGCTTCACATGAGGACTGAGGAGAAACACAACAGTCAAAACCAAACCAATTCTAGACTCTTAACATCTGCTGTAACCTGAGGCAGGGGTGGGTGTGGGTAGGGAGGAGAGGCCGGATGGAGCATTGGAGGCAGATTCCTGGGGGCACCAGGGATTGCTTCACACCGGGCAGGGGGTGAAGGTGCACATTTGTAGAGCTTTGAACCTACAATCCCTAGAGCAGATACAAACATGTAAACCTACTTTATCTCAATAGACATATTTTGGAAAAATTAAATAAATCTTTGTCTTCTTTCATGACTAAAAGTTGCCCCACAACTTTACTAAAAATACATGGGATTACAAATTATAGACAGGTCAAAAGGCCATTTGAAACATCTCTAAGACTAAATATATACCACACCATTTGGGAATTCTGGGGAGCAGTTTACTGCAAGAACAAAAGCCCACAAATTAGTTAAAGGATATTTACCCTGAAAATGACTACAATGGCTCCTAAGGCCTGGCATCAGCGGCCCACATGATGTGCAGAATGAATGAAAGGGTGAAATCTCCACTGCAAAGGCCCTGTACAATCTACAAACAGGAGCTCGGGGTGAACAGCCTTTCTTCATAGGAAGAAATTCAAGTTCCCCATGAGACAAGTGGAGGGGTCCTGAGTCAGGAGAGACAGCAGGCCAAGTGCAACTGCTGACCAGGGAGACACCGTGGTATCCTGGCTGGTGACGGTCTCCTGCCCCAGGAGGATCACACAGACCTTCCCAGAAGAACCTCACCTGGCAAACAGCTCCTGGAGTGTGTCTGGGATTTCAAGGTTAGGATTCTTTAGGGCTGAAGTGAATTTTTCTTTAAGCTTCTCCACAAATTCTTTAAACTCGTTGGCGCAAACCTTTCAACATAGAGAAGGAGATGTTAAGTCCTTCCTCTCCCTGAAGGGAGGTTTCATTGAGACACATGAAGGAAAATTCTGTAAGAAACTCCTCCGCCAGGGACCTCCCAGAAACACTGACCAGGAACCACCCAGTGCTCGCCTTCCTGCCTCCCCAGCCTAGCGAGTCCACTGGGAAGGTGACAGATACTCATTGCCACATGCAGGGAGGTGGTGGACCTGGCGTCAGAGGATGCCGACGGCCCCACACCTGCACTGCCAGCACTGTCTCCCAAGTCCTGGATGGAAGACCCAAACGTGTGCTGCAGAGGCCCCAGCGGGCCTTGGGTCATTGTGATTGTCCCCCATGCGCCCCTACAACGAGCAGAGTATGAAGAGAGCCAACAAGCAGCCTCCTTCCCCACTAATCCCCATCCACCCCACCCCCTCAGAACGCTCAGAGAGAAACTCGCACCCTACCCGCAAGGCTCCCGCAAAGTCTAGCTGTTTGCAATTGCCGAAGGGCTGCCCTACTTTCTTAACAAAAAAGGCCCATGCATGCAGGACTGCAAAGTGGCATGTCAAATTCTAACCGCCTTTAAGAATGGATGCTGGGGTCAGATCAATTGAGATACAAAGTCAAAGAAATGATAAGTTGATTTCCCAAGTGAGCGGGAAAAAAGCCCACGTCTGCCTGGCCAGCAGAGGCAGCGTGAGACTAGAGGCCACAGCAGGGCAGGCCTGGGCCAATGGCATTGTGGGAGCCCACCTTTGGGTCTTCATAGTCACACTTCCGGTTCATGAAATCTCCAATCAGAGCCTTGTCCTGGTACACCTCAACTAGGCAAACCCTGCAGAGAAAGGACAAGAGTGAACCCAGGACTGCCATCACCTCTAAGCTCAGAACCACCATTTCTGCCCTAAGGTTTCTGGACTGAACTAAGCAGGAAGTATGACTTACTCATGTACCTGTCAAGTGACTACAGTTTTCAAACATGAAGGATTTGAGGTCAGTCAGAGTTGGGCCTCACTGCTCACACTTCACACCTTGGCTTCTCTGAGCTTCTCTCCTCCATGTGTGAACTGAGAGCAGCAACTCCCACCTGCCTCTCACTGGGACCTGGCCAGGACCAAATTGGATGACCTATGTGAAAGCGCACTGGACGTGTAAATACATGCGACAAGTTTGTTACTAAGAGCTCAAACGTCCCACAGCACTAACTGTCCACTCCACAAATCTTCCTATCTCCAGGATGTAAGGAGAGCCTGACTTGCCCAACAGGAAGTGAAGGGAAAGCAGTCAGCATTTGCTGGGCTCCCAGGTGCTGGCCACTTTGACCATAAAGGGCTTGCAAGGGAGAGGTCAGTGAAGTGAGGGCCCCTGAGGTCATACCTATGCCAAGGGCTGGGCAGGTAGGACAGATGTGGCTCTTACTGCCACCATCGTCCTGCTCACCATGAGGAAACAGCCTCTGAGAGAATAAACACCCTGACCCAGGTCCCGCAGTTTCCAACTTCTACAAGAAGGAGACCCAGGCCTGCCCACCCTGCAGCCCCTCACACTGCACTGCCCCAGGCTGCTGTGGGACAAGAAGCAAAGCATCAGGCAAGGGCCCAAGCTCCAGATCTCAATTCACTGCCAATCACTGTCACTGTGGCCAGTTGGGGGATGCAAGTGGATGGGTCTGAACATTGGAATCACCTTGTCCTGGAGTTAAGAAAGTTCAAATAAGGCTTACTTATAGTTCAGATAGGCTTGTGGATTTTTGACTATGTAGCGAGCTCTTCGTCCAACTGAATGAGATGTTTTGTCCAAAGACTCCTCAAAGGTGGCGTGCAGTATGTCCCGCACGACCTGCCAGGGGACAAACGGGCCCTTCACCTGGACCAGACACAGAATCAAGATGGAAAGTCAGTATCTCAGAGCCCACATATGGATCATTAACACAAAGTGGGGAGATGTGTTCTGGGGAGCCTCACTTCTCAGTGGACACTCAAAATTGTCACCTTTACTCAGTCACATTTACTGGGCATTGACTTTGTGCCTCGCAAGAGTGAGGGTTGAGCAGAGAAGAATTAGACGCCTTCACTGTCCAGTGGGAAAGACTACCTTTAGGCAAGTAATAGAGACGCTCGTGTGTCTGGAAGCGCATGAGTTAGTGGAGGTTCTGAGGACAGCACAGTGGCTAGTTAACGGCTACAAAGGCCTGATTACTCATTCTGGATGCTCAGGAGCAGTGTGAACTCTGCTCGTGTGTTACATGAGTGGAACTAGAATGCACTACATTCACAGGCTCAAGGGGCCTATCTCAGCCAAAGCACCCAGGAAGGCAGAGCTGAGCTAAGGAAGAGGCTTGATGACAAGGTTATTTCCTCATAGCCCCAGGAGGAGGTGCCAGAGAGCACGTGCAAGTTCGAGTCAGTAAGTGGGGAAGACTCACTGGCCCAGGCAGAACTCCCCGGCTCCTCCTACCTCTCATTCGATGAAAAACCATTGCAAAGGCAGGAAGAGCAATCGGGGCAGCATGATGCCGCCTCAAGGTTCTTCTTCACAGAAAGGACTGGGTTGGAATTTAGAGGGGGACTGAGGGTGAGTATCTGGGGAAAAGGTCAAGAAAAGGGATCTAATGAGTCTGCAGACAGAGAGCATGCTGGGAACAGGGCTCCAACTGCAGCTCTGCTCAATGTGCAGGCTGTGAGCAGGCTACAAACCTGACTCCTAGGAAGCTGCCTGCCCTGCTCCATCTGGAGGTACCTGGAAGGGCCTTCTGCCGAGGACAGAGCCCATTCCCCTGGTGGCGTCTGAACACACTCCATCAGAAATGTGTCCACCTGGAGGCTCTCCCCATGCCTGGCTGCAAACTGGGGAGATCAGGACAGCACAACGGGGTGCACTCAGCCAGACCAGGGGTCAGTAAGGGTGCTCTGTGGAACATGGGGAGAAGAACTCTGGCTCGGGCTGTGTGGCCTCCTTAGAGGCAGTGACATTAGAAGAATGAAGCATTTACGAGAGCGAGCAGGTCCCTCCCAATGGCTGGGGATTCAGAGACCAGGCTGGAGGACGCCACGAGAGTGTGGGGAACTGTGGAGAGGAAGGCAGAGGAGTGACCCATGAGAAAGGGAAGAGCCTGAGGCCACTGTTCCCACTGCACACCCACTGAGTGATCGCTGTGCAGTAGGCGCTGTGCTAGGGGCTGCAGCTGTGAATACAAACGAAGACTCTTTGCCCAAGGAGCAGCCACTCCCGTGGGCTAAGAGGTGCCAGAAGCAACAGAAGCCGTGTGTAAAGCAGATCTCCAAGGGCCAGGAAGGGGGCAGTAATTACTTCCATTTGGCAGGATCAATGAAGCCTTGCCAGGGATGATAAGCAGTTTCTGGAAGACACATAGGAGTTTTTCAGGCAGATGAGGACAGGTAGAGGGGAGCAGGAAAGGGCTGGACTCATGGTGAGAGAGAGAGAGAGAGAACAGCTCTGAGCCATGCTGCCTGCAACCGGAAAGACCGCACATGGTCGCCAAAGGCTGGAAAGAAAAGTGCAAGCCGAGGCGCAGGGCAGGTTTGCTGGACTGGGGGAAACGCTCCTCCCAGCAGCCAGGCAGGAAGATGAGTGGCCCCAGCCAGCTGTCCCGTGTGGGGGAGGCAGGAAAGAGAGCTCCTGCCTGGAGGCAGCATGTCAGCTGGCCAGGCTGGGCAGGGTGGGGCAGTGGGCCCACCTTGGTGTTGAGGACGTTGCTGGCGATCCGGCAGAGCATGAGCAGCCCGTCTTCCTGCATGGACCAGGTGACGCGCAGCCGCGTCATCCTCTGCAGAGCACTCTGGTCAGCCTCGTCGTGGTAGCGCAGCCTCTTGTTCTTCTCTTCTGGGAGCTCTTCTGAGAACACGGGGAGGAGAGAGGAGGCCTCTGACACCTGGTTGGGAGCCGTCACTCTGCTGAGGGGGATGTCCTCACCCAGCGAGCAAGATCTGACCCAGGGCGCTGGAATCAGAATCTCAGTGCGCGGGAGGCCACACAGATGAACCACAAGAGACTAGGCCCTTCCTGGCAGACATTTTTTTTACCCCCTTTCATCATTTCTCTTTGGCAGAATTTCATAGCGACAGGCTGGGTGGCCTGAATGCAGCCTCTTATTAGATATCTGCCAACCTCCAGTGCTTCCCACTGGGGCACTGTGCCCTTTGACAGCACTGGCATGGCTTAGGAAGCATGTCAAGCTGTGTGCTGCATGGCGGGCCCCAGTGCTCATGCTCCTGCGCTGTGAGCATGCAGACAGTGCAAACGCTGCATTGTGGGGACAAGGCCCATCCCACAGGGCTGTCTGGAGAGAATGAGACTGGATATAAATACCCAGTGCTAGTCACAAATTAGCTTGTGGTTTAAGTAATACTTTGCAACATCCCTATCAGAAGGACACAATTACTCCCCCTTTCTGCAGTTGAGGACATCTGAAACGCAGTGCCATATGACAACTTGCCCGAAGTCACACAGCCTCATTAGTAGCAGGCTCTGGATTCCAACCCTGAGATGCTGAGCACCAGGTTTTCCTCCCCCTGCGGAAGACACTGGTGGCAGTTTCACGAGTCAGGCACCACATGCCACTGCAGATTCCAAAGGACTGTTTAGTGAGTTTCTTCCAATTAAGGCAGACGTGGGGCAAGAAAATTTAGATTCAAAGTGAAACCACCCACTTCACCTAGCACAAATCCCGTGTTCGTGAGCCACACAGCTCCTACAGATCCCGACAGGCAACCCGCACAGCCATTCCAACAAAAGGGAGGCTGTTTGTTCCAAACACCAGCCAAGCAAACTACAAAAAACTGGATTCTGTGCAAGCATTCTGCTCTCCTGTGGTTAAAAGCAGCAGCTCTCAGGTTATTGTTAAGACACAAAGGGCACTCAAGTGATTAAAAAATAGGTGGCCAGTTTCCTTACTGCCCTCCTGCCCTCCTCTGCTGCACATACTGCCCAGACAGAGTCCAAACGGCAACCTAGAGGCCTCACACTTGAGGGGTGCGCAAGGTCTGGAGAGATTTGGCAGGATGAGATGACTCCCTCCTTCCCTCTACTTTAAAATACAACAAAACTGAACTTGAGTTTCATTAGCATAAGTGCAAAAACTTAAAAGGTAAACCAACAGGATAATAGGATTTTGGCTGCTTGTGATGAGAAGTTTGCTCAGGCCCTTTGCTAAGGTTTTGTCAGTTGAGATGCAGTTAGCACCTGGACTAAGGGGGTTCTAATGTAGAAACCATAGGACAGAGAAAGCAGAAGGCACACAGGATGTTCAAGGATCTCTCAGCCTAACAGCTAGATTGGAAAAATAAAAAAGCACTCAGGCCACGGTGGCACCTCGGGTTGAGGGACACAAACCCCAAGTCTAAGGAGCTCAGGCACAGCTGTTGTGGTCACTGCACCCCTTCAAGCCGGACCGGGCCCAGACAAGGCCTAGCAAACACAAACGAGCAAGTGAAACCTTTTTTCTTTCTCTTGTTCTTCTTTGCAGGGTCCTTCTTCAGACGTTTTCGCTTCTGGTTCTTGCCGCCTCTCACTCTGAGGTTTCTGTCCAGCAAGGGCTCTTGCTCCAAGTTAAGCTGCTCCGCCCTGTCAGCACAGAGCTCGGCTCCTGCTCCAGCTTCTCCCCAGATATTCAACCTGCCGTTGCCTAGAAATGACCACAGATCAGCCTTTCGAGATGAGCTCCGCAAAGGCCAGAGCCAAATGAGATGGTGTGGTGGTCTCTGGCTCTCACTGAAACCAGGGCTGTTTGGGGCTGAAGTCTTAGCACACATACCTCCAGTACCAAGTGGCAATGGATGCTTAGACAGAAACGTCTGGAGCCTCACTGTGAGCCCGTTCTCTGAAGCAGTGCTCTCCTGAAACACAAGCACACACTGGAGTATGGCAGGCGTGCCCATGAGTCCCCGGGGCCAGAGCATCAGTGCAGTGAGTGTGCGTGCCCCTGACTTAGTAGCAAAGACAGCTGTGGGGGGCCTGCCACAAAGCTGGGGTGTCCCCTTGTCGCCACTTTCTGACACATACACTCTCCCCTCTTGTATGACACTTGTCTCTCAAGCTTTCTGTTCCCCATTTAAAATAGCTGCCCATGTTGCAGAACAAGTAAGGATCTAATGAAAAATAGTCATCCAGAAAGATACTTTAGGGGTCTGGTGTAGTTTCAATACCAATGGAAGTAAACACTGTATCTCTGGTCAATTCTGGCTTTACTAACTCAGAGACCATGAGCCTGGAATGGGAAAAGTGCCCCTGGCCCCCAAACTATGATCCACAATGGATGCCCGCACCCCAAAAGCCCACCTTTCTGGCCTTGATGATATAGCTGGTCCAGATCCAGTTGCGCTTTAGATGGCCATAGAAGCTGGAGTCAAGCCCAGCAGCGCCCAGGCCGTCTCCGGGGATCAAGCCTTCATCCACCACCTCTCGGCTGCCCCTGGCGAGATGGGAAATAAATGGAGTGAGCGTCACTCGGGAACTGAAAGAGAGCCACGGAGTGGCCAAGGTGTTTTTGTTAACTTTTACCTACTCAGAACAACACCTGACAGGCAGAAGTGAGGAATTTGTCATAACCCCAGATTTTAATGTAAATTCTCAATTTTTTAATGTTGGCAACTGATTTTTTTAAACAACATGTGGCCTAAATAAGTGTGGCTGGGCCGATATCTGGCCCAGAGCCACCAATTTGTAGCTTCTGCACCAGACTTGGGTCTACCCAGCCTGACCCAGAAGCCCGGCGTGGAGAAGCGGGGCCCGGGCCCAGGTGTGCAGGGACAGGCACGCACGTGGTGTACTCCAACAGGGCACACTTGCGCTCCAGGTTGTGCTTGTCCACGGCGCTCTCCTGCTCCTTCTGCAGATTGCCCTCCTCGTCGCTGCCCTGATCCCCGCTGCTGTCCTTCCTGACCCGTGGGCAGCGAATCACACCTGCAAAACCAAACACGCCATGCTGCTGGATCTCTGGCTGCGGCTCTGGCAACCAATGAGCTGCTGAGGGGTGAGAGAAATTTCTGGGAACAGGATGCCCAACCAGATGAAAGGGCCTGAAACTGGCAGAACCTCTTTGTACAAAATACCTGTCAGAGGGAGTGAAAGGGGGTGACCTATAGCCCTAGTGGGTGAGTCTAAGCAAAGGGTCTGTGCACAGGCTCAGCTCTAGGGGGTGCAAGCAGGTAACCAGAGGACCCAAAAGGCTCAGGGTGTCTATGAATAAAGGACCCAGGGACCAATTTGCAGGTCCTTACAAGGACCCTTGGCTTCTTTTCTGCGGGAGGCCAGGGGAGTTCCAGGTGCCAGCACAGAGGAAGCATACCCCTTCTCACGAAGGGGTACCCCAAGTGCTGGTAGTGGCAGGCATAGGGTCAGCAGGAATCTAGACAGACAGTCTGAGGCCACATCAGTTTCCCTGGGCCTTCTGGTCTCTGGGAGCAGCCAGATGTTTCTCGAGTGCCCAATAGGTAGACTAATGTGGTTGAGAACTACAATCAGTGATTCCACAATAAGGAAAATTGCTTTCTTACAAGAGAATATATTATAGAACAAAAACCACTGCTTGACTAAGGGGAAGGAAGGTTATGGGAATTTGCAGACCCCCTCCTAAGCAGCCCTACTAAGAGCTAGGCTGGTTAGGTGTGGCCTGGGTGAGAGTGAGGAGCCACGGGGAGAGAGACTAGGTCTGGGCCTTCCAGCCGGAGCTTCACATGAGACAGCTTACTCAAGCGTCACGTGGGCTCCAAACGGCAGTGGTGGTGCGCCCAGTTTAGAAATGAAGAAACTAAGAGAGTACAAAGACCCAGAGCCAGACATTTAGAGGGACAGCTGAACCTAGAAAACTTCACGTGCTGTTCATGTGCACATCGAGCTGCTTGTTAGACTAGCAGATTTAGGACCTCCCCCGTCTGCCCAATCCAAATCTCAGGACCGGGCCCAGTAATCCACATTTTAATGGGCTACTCAGGTGATTCTTGGGCAGACTCACATTTAGGGAATCCCAGCTTTACACATTTAAACCCCACCTTCAAAGGCTGCTCACGCCTTATTATATGGTACCTTCCCCTTAGTCTTTGGGCAGAACCACTGCAAATGTTTGTTGAATGAGTGCCTGATTAGTAGACTCCACAAGGCGCCCACATTCTGCTCATAAACACTAAAAAATGAAAATTCTCCAATTGTCAAGCCTGAAAAACTCTGGCGCAAATAAAATACTGGTTCACAAGTTTTTATCTAGATATAAAATGAAGGACTATTAGGGAACTTAAAAATCTGAAATGGTAGAAGTGTAGCTTACTGCCGAAGGCAAGAGGATTCTATAAAACACACTGCTCCCAAATTTGTCTGGACTCATTAAAGGTTATAAACACAATTCTGTCAAATAAATATGTGGCTCCTGCTTTGCAAAAGTCTAGATGTAATACTGCTCTTTCAGTCCTGGGAAAGGAGAATGCAACAAGATTCCTCTCCCAGTTGCAAAATAAATGTAGCATCCTATTTCTCCTATCAGAAGGGGTAAGGAAAGACCAAATGGAAACTGCCTCAGGGGAAAGAGAGGCAGACTGGAGATTCTACAGACTTCCACAAGCCCTCCATTCATTCAATAAACATTTATGGGAGGTCAACTGTGTACCGGCCATTTTGAGACTCCCTAGGGATGGAAGTCAAGTTTCCTGTGCTCAAGGACTTCAGAGAATGCCAGCAATGGCTGCTCAGAAGGCTTCTTCTAAGAGGTGATGCTTGAAATCGGAGTGGCTATTGGGAGGTGAGCAGGGCTGCCAGGAGACCTTCCAGAGGGAGGAGAATAACACAAGCAGAGCCCTTATCTAAAGGCCCTGCCATTCATCCAGTCCACTGGCAAGGCTGGTCAGGTCTTCCTCCAATATACCCCAAGCTGTCCTCTCCCTTCGTCGCACCAGTGCACATCTCCCTTGGAGACACCTCACAGCCCCTAACTGTCCTCCCTGCTCCTACTCTTGTGCCTTGGTCCATACTCTACATAGCCACCTGGGCAAGTTTTGAAAACTTGAGATCACTTCTCCTTGTACATCCATCCAGCGGCTCCCTGCCACTCAGAGTAACCCACACGCTGTACTATCCTGCAAGGCCCCCAGAGGCTGGCTCTGCCCTACTTCTCCATCTCAGCTGCCACCTTCTCCCCACCAGCTGCCTCTTCTGTTTCCCAGCACCCAGGGGCAGGGGGAAAGGATGCTGTCCTGCTGTTTCCCTGGCCTGGAATGCTCTTCCCCAGGCTGGCCTGGTTCCAGCCTTTAAAACGCAGCTCACAGGTCTCCTCCCTCACAAAGGCTACTCCTGAGCACCCTGTTAAAATGCCCTCGACTCATCACTCGAGCCTATCACACTCTAGGGGTACATATGTGTGTGTGTGCACGTGTGTGTGTCTTGTCCATGAGCATGGCAGTCCCCGGCAGGCAGGGCTGGTGTTCTCACTGCTGCATGGTCAGCTCAGGGAGTGACACAAGGCACTCAATAAACACTAAGTGAAAAATGATAAAGACAAAATGGAGCTACTTATGCTAAATGGGGTGCCGCGCCGGGAGCACTCAAGAGCTACCTACTACTCTGCCTTCTAAGGGACCTCCAAGGCCATGCTCGGCCCGAGAGCAGCCTGAAAACCACCAGACCAAGTGACTTCTGTCTGGTCTCCTCCAGCTACGCACAGAGAGCAGGGAAAACTGAGCAAAGACAGACGGTACCTAAGGGGGTATTGAGGCAGACACACTGCAGATCCAACCAATAGCTCTCCACATCCTGCATGGAGTTCAGGACATAGGGACGCCTCTCGAAGGGCCGGCTGCTATGCGCGAGGTTGTAGTGCGGGTCGCAGGTGGTGGTGTCCACGATGACCGCGTTCTTCTTCAAGAAAATAAAGACCTACGAGAGAGACATGGGAGGGGAGGGCAGTCCCTCAAGAGGAGCATGCGGTCAGCTGACTGGAACGTGTGCTCACCCACCAGACCCTCTTCAGGAGAGTGTGAAAGGCATTACCTGATCTTTATCCTGATACTTTTCCGTGGGACCAAACTGGAGCAGCCCCATGTAGCACAGCCTCTGGAGGTTCTCCACTACCGAGAAAATGTAGCGTCTAGAAAACAGGGGAGCATGGTCACGTCACACTCTTGACGGGCTCCGGGGGTCTGCAGCTGGAGTGGCGGCCTCGGGCCTGCACTGTACGGAGCCCAGAACCAGCCTTCCCAGCATCCACCCAAGGCAACACTCTGACCTACATCGGGGCTAGAGTTTGGAAAGTGACAAAGGAAAACAGGGCTCTAGTGCTTGCGCAGCAGCAGCAGATTTTACTTGAGAAGAACCTTGAAATCAAGTAATGAAACATGCTAGCCCACACTTCACTCGCCTGTGCTTGATGTAGCATACTTACAGGGGGCTGAGCTCATGGAAACCTTGAGTTTTTACAATCTGGAAGGCTGAACCTGTATCTTTCTGGTGAACAATCATTCAGAAACCCAACTTGAAGGGGCGTGCTGGGCCCTCGCCATACCGCAGCAGTTTCAGGAAGCTCACCTCTTGTACAGAAGCTGCTGCCGGATGGGCTTGGGGAGAAATCGGATCAGTGTGTGCTTCTTCAGAGGGTCGTCCAGGTACTCCTCGAGGTTGTCCACCTGAGAGGGGAAGTTCAAGTTCTACTTACCCTCATGGCTGGAGTAAATTGCAAAAATTTTGAAAAATGCTCACCACTACTTTCTGGGCTGTAGCCTCTCTGAATGTGCCCATCGGCTGCCCAGTAACTGCCCCTCCTCTTGCTCTCCTCCCCTTCGCCCCCCATCTCTGCCTTCAGTCACCCTCCCTTCCAGCTCACTGGCCACACTGCTGGGTGCAATAAACAGGTGTCCTCATACCCTGCTGGTGGGCATACAAATTGCTGAAATGTGTGTGCAGAATATAAGGATATATTTATGTATTTTGCAAAAAGATAAAGAATGCTTATTCCCTTGGAAACCAGCGATTCGACTTCTATCTTTACCCCAAGGAAAAAATTCTGGTGAGCCTTCCTGGTGGCACAAGGGCTTAAGTCTCAGCACTATGAAGCTATCGGTAGCCCCTGCAGCACGAGTTCGGTCCCCTGACCAAGAAGCTAACCCACACGGCGCAGCAGACCTCTTCTGTCTCATCCGCTGCTCCCCTCAGCAGTGGTTTTCAGTCAATCTGCCTGTTCTGCTCCCCACTCTGTCTCTGGTGAATCCTCTCACCCCCTGCACCTCTGGCCTGTACCCCAGTTCTCGTATACATAAATATTTAAAAGAAAAATTTGGAGCTGCCCCAAAATAAGTCCGCCTAAATGTTTTTTATCAATATGCCATTTATAATACTAAGAAATTGGAATTTAAATGTCTAAAAATAGAGTATGGGTTAAATAAATTTGGATATGTATACAAGAAGGAATACTATAAATTTACTTAATATCTAGCTAAAACTCAAATTGCAAAATACAAAAAAAAAAAAACCAGATAATAAAGGTAAATGTAGTATAGTGTTGAGTCAACTTTCTCTTAAGAGGGAGATCTCACACATACACAAAAATGTGGCATAGGAAAAAACGCAGAAAATCTACCAAAAACACCAGCAATGAAGGTATGGATAATTTTAATTTTCTCCTTTTTCTATATTTACCACATTTCAAGAACATCTTATTGTTACACAACAATTGTCTTTCTGTCTGTTGACTGATCTACTTAAGTCTTTGAAGTATTCCCCTTGACCCACCAACCAACCGACCAAGAAACCACCCATGCCTCCATTCACCCAACCTTACCGCCCCTCTGGCCTGCCTGCCATCCATCCATCCATCCATCCATCCATCCATCCATCCATCCATCCATCCATCCATCCATCCATCCAGCCAGCCAGCCTGTCTTACCTTCTCATTGATCCATCTAGAACAAGTCTTTCATATGTTTTGTTATTGACTAACTGATCATCCGTCTATCAATTAGCTATCTGCCTGTCTGTCTATTGACTCACCTACCTAGAAAAAAAAATCTTGCCAGAATCTTCCACTAACCATTCATCCATCCATCCATCCACCTGGGCAACTGCAAGACTTAAAGTATTTTCCCGTGCCCTAGTGAATGGGGCCCTCCAGCCTGGCGCCAGGGGTCAAGCCCTGAGGCCCTACAATGGCCCTGGAGCTACGAGTACCTTGTAGCTGACTTGCACGATTTGGACGAAGATGGAGAGGGGCAGGCAGAGGAGAAGGTCACTGACCAGGGCCCAGCCGAAACCAAAGTCCCGGTGGATGGGGATGGGAGGGATGTAACGTGTCCACGAGACTTCGTCCACATACACTAGGAGAAAACCAGAGTCAGTCCACAGTCAGGGTCCCCGGGCAGGAAGGCGACGCCCACTCCCAGTAGGTCCCTCTCACCAAAGACTTGGGCAAAAATCCTACTGCCAGATAATAAGCCCAGAGCTTAGGAAGTTTGGATTAAGACTTTATTTTGATCAGGGCCATGTGGGGCTGCAGCCAGTTGAGATGAGAAGGCCCACCACGATCCCTCTAGGTCCCACTGCAGCCTGCCTGACGCAGGCATCTCACCTGTCTCTGTGGCGAGTTCCACTTCAGTTTCCCAGACGCCTGTGTCCCGGCCCTCCCTGGGTGGACCATCGGAGGGTTCCGAGTCATTTCTGGAGTTCTGAGCTCCCGTACGGCCTGGTTCCTGCCTTGCCAGTCTTCTCTCTCTGAGGACCGGCTTTTCTACCAGGTGGCTGGCAGGATGCCCATAGATCAGGTACCACAGAAACATGTGAATTGTCCGCAGGCGAGGCATTTTGGGCAGAAACCCTAGAGAACGCCCAAGTCCAGGAACTAAGGCAAGAATGGGAGAGATCAGTGCTTGAAAAACCCCAGATTCCATTTGATACAATTCACTCAAGAACCAATGACTGCACTATGTCCCATGTACCAGGGAGACAGTAAATAGCCTTTTTTTTTTTTGAAACAGTAAATATTCTCACCCTCTTGGAACTCAGTTTCTAGAGGGAAAGGGCAGAAAATAACAAAATACCTAAAATAATATATCACGTGGAAAGAGCTGATACAGAAAGTAAAGGACGGGGGAGGGAAGCTGTGATTGTACAGAGAGACCTTGCGTGAAGTCCTGAGAGAGTCTGCAAGTCAGAGGCAGCCATGTGACGCATGCCAGCGTGCCTCCCCTGGCAAGCCAAGGTGCCTGAGATGAGTGTGTGGCTGGCATATTCGAGGAAGGGCCAGGAGGCCAGGTGACAGGGTAGAACAAGGAAAGAGAGCACAGAAGATGAGCCAGAGTATACCGAAGACAGGAGGGTGGAGGCCCACAGGCTCCACCTAAAGGCTCCTGCTTGATGGGACTAGACAAGATAGTCCAAAAGCCGGTTTCTCTTAAGCAGCTTATTTCTTTATGGACATAAGCAAGGTGCTCCTGGGCTTTCCCAGCGAGGACAGGGAAGCCAGGGCAAGCGCCCAAAGGCCCCTCCTGCACTGCCACGCCTCCCCCACAAGAGGATGTGCCACTGCCTCATCTACGCAGGCATGTGCGCTCAGCGGTACATGCTCAACACGTTGTTTTTCCTTCAGTCTGCACTTTCTAACTGTGAATGCTTGAGGGTACAGACCACAAATGTGAGGCTGGAGTCCCTAGAACAGGAAGTCACACAAATGACCTCGGGTACTTGGAATTCCCAGGGCTGCTGTGTCCCCTACCAGGACATTTCCTGCTGGACAGAGGTCTATGCCCTGGTAAGTCGCCCTGGCCCTGCTTTACCAGCACGCACACCTGTGGCCAGGAGAGGAAGCGAGCACCTGATTCTAAAGCCATGGCCACTGCCCTTGCCCAGCACAAGTTTCAACTCAGTTCAACCTAGTAGGGGAGGGGCAGGGAGGAGACCTGCCTCTGCTAACCTTTCATGACTTCTCAACCACGTCCATGACTGTCTGACCAAAAGGTTTGGGGGTCAGAAGAAGAGATTTTCTGAGTTTTATAGAACGTTCCAGGGATAATGAGCGGGAGGAGTTAATCTTGGTGAGTAACTCCTCATAAGGTAGTGTAATTTCCTCTGGTTCTCTGAATAGCTTTGGAGAGGCTGTATCATTCCCATTTGGCAGGGAGGGACACTGATGCTGGTGAAAGTCACATGACCAGCCCCACATTACCCAACAGGCACTTAGGACTTGATTCTCTAATTACAGCCCAGAGCTTGAAGGTAGAATACCTGGAAACTGTAACATCGTGTACACGCGACAAAGGGAAGACAAAACTGACAAGAAGTTGCTTTTACCTACTACAGGGTTATAATTTTTAAGCTGGGTTATGCCCATCTTCTCATCAGTCTTTTTCACCCGTGGAGGTTCGGGTTTAGAGGACGCATCCGTCGGAGAGTCTCCCGATCCAGCCGGGTCCTCTTTCCCTTGACTTTCTTCTTCGACCTCTCCTTGAGGCACTGGTGGCTGGGACACTTTAATCCTGTAGTTCAAATCCAAGATCAAAATCAAGGGCTGAGAGAAAGGGCAGGTTCTGTCCTCATGACTCAGATAAAGTCAGCAAGCCCTGGCTTCCAACCCAACTGCAGGTGGATGACGCAAATGAATAAAATGTATCAGGTCACTAGACATTTGGGAATGGTGGGGACTGTGGTGACCTGGAAATCACACCCCCACTTATGACAGCTCTACCTTTTAAGAAAGAGAGACTGTGGGATACCCGGCCCTCTTGTTCTCGGGGCTATTGTCTTGGCCCACAGAGTTCTTGCTGGAAGGCAAGGCATACAGTCAGGCAGTTCTCTCACCATGGACAAAAGTCCTGGTATGAGGAACATACTGGGAAATCAGTATCTGCCGAAAACAGCAAGCAGATATTATGGCCAGCTTAGCAAGATCAGCTAGAATACCTTGCTTGAAAAGATTAGCAGAAATTTAGGTAAGAATAGAGATAATGTGTTTTGACTAGCAGGAGCAATGGAGCCTCCCCAGGCAGCAGCCCTTGGTCCCTCCACCACAGCTTACATCCCAGATACCATTCACATATATTCCCTTGTGCTTGCCCCACCTTTGTGCTTGATTCTAATAAATACCGCCCTTGGATGAGGCTGCACATTACTTCCCTGTGTAGTCCCTCTAGGTTTCTCATTGCTCTCCATGGACTTTGAGTAATCTTTCCCTCATCCTGTGCCACTCCCAATGCTGCTGCCCCCCAAGGCAACAGGAGCCCGAGATTCTGGGTCCCCTGATACTTTCATAAATGGCAGAAACTAGGAACTTGATGTGAAATTAAATGGCACCTGAGTAGTGTCTATGTGGCCCGCACGCAGCCAGGCCCACACACCTGTAAGTCAGATCCGGCCTCTGTCAGGCCAGGTGCCACTTCGGGTTTAAACTCAGCTAAGAACCTGCTCCCACTTCTGAAATTTCTCTTGGCCCATTGGGTGGTTATAAACAAAATTAGAGAAGACCTCAGAGAGGCAACTAGAATCACTGTGAACCGCTGGGAGACAGCAAGTATCACACACTGCAGGGCCCATGGCGTGGAGTCCTCTAGCCAGAATTAGAGTAGGACCAAGAATGGTAAGACTGTTTTTTTTTTTTTTTAAACAGTACGTCTCTCTTTTTTTTTTTATAGAGGCATGCTTTATTTATTTGTTTGTTTGTTTTGTTTATACATGCACCGGGTACAGTCAGAAGCGCGGGAGGGTGAGAGAATTCACCAGAGCCAGAGCGGGGAGCAGAGCAGGCAGAAGGACCGAAGTACACTGCTGAGGGGAGCAGCGGGCGGCAGGAGAAGTCTGCGCGCCATGTGGGACCCTCCTCTGGTGGCCGGGGAGCAGCCAGGGATCGAACCGGCACCGCAGAGGCCGCGGGCAGCTTCGCAACCCAGTGCTCAACCACTGCGTCACCGGGGAGGCCCGGTAAGACTGTTTTTAATCAGACACCAGAAATTGATCCCTGTTTAGACGAGGGGCTCATGGACCACAAACCCCAAATCAGTGGGTTTTCTTACCTCATACAAGTATAAATAAAGGGCATTTGCAGACCTGCCTCAGGTCAAACCCAGCCCCAGGGGACCCCACCAAGATGCGTAGAGAGCACTATCACTTGCCTGTTTGCTGTGCTTGAGTTGGAGATCCGGAAACGAACCTGCTCAATGGCACTTCTTACGAGAGGGTCGTTCTGGTCCATGGACGGGTGCACCACCAGGTCCACCTGCAGAGTGATGTGGAATGTGTGTCCCAAAGGGCAGGGCCAAGGGAGACCCCCGCTCCAGAACTCAGTTCCTTGGTAGAATGCTGGTTATACCTATTTGCATAATTTTTTCAAAAGATACTTATGAGACTGGAGATAATTCTGTGGCTACACAGTCTGCCATTCATTCCAGAGACATGCAGCCCTGAGCAGGGGAGGAGGGCCGGCCTGGAGGAGAGCGGTGACCCCCTGCAGCATCCTCACTGGGCTGTCTCCCCCGATCTCTGCCACCTGGTGGCTGCTCCAGATGCCCAGCACCTGCTCTCTGAGAACTTCCCAGTTACCTATGAATCCTGAGGGCTTCCCTCTGGAGAAGGTAAGCGGCTTTCATTAATCTCTCCTCGCGGTGAGTTCTGCTGTGGGACTCCTGCCGGGCAGGCTTCAAAACAACTGGCCAAGATTTAGAGCTGCTTTTGTTACCTTTCCCGAGGTACCAAAGCTGAATGGCTAGGGCGGCTATCATTTCTTGAACAGCATTAGAACGGCAAATAGAAACTGGAAGGGAAATAACCCGGTGGGTGGAGCAGGGGTGTGTGACAGCTGTGTAGGGGATGGCAGCACGGTGGTCAAGGCCCTGGAGAGCCAGGTTCTGTTTCATCTGTCGCTGGCAGAAGAGAGCCAGATCGGGGTCTCTAAAGGTGTGACTGACCAAGCAGGCTTCATGCCAGACACAGGCTGAGGGAGGAAAGAGGCAACAAAGCCCAGATGGGGACTCCAAAAGGCCACACTTGGTTCAGTCTCTTCTGCTCCTCATTTGTGAAGTGGGGACCTCACCCCTCTGCCCTGCCAATTTTTTTTGTGGTTTTGTGAGGTTCAAATGAGGGACACATTAGGAAATTTAAAGGCGTCATGGGGCAAACACAGACTCTTCCCATTTCCTTGCTTTCGACAGCTAAGTGGCAAAAGCCAGTGGACAGGGCAAGATGCAGCGTGAGGGCCAAGGCTGATGGAGCCTCCAGCAGCTTAGCAGGCCGCCTACTTGCGGCACATGCTCCGGGGGCTGTGCGCACCTCCTTCACTCTGGAGGCAGACAGACAACAGCGTGGCCCTGTCCAGTCAGAAAACAGGCCACCGGAGAAGTGTCCTGAGCAAGAGGCCCCAGCAGCAGGGCCCTTCATTTGGGAGGCTGCGTGATCCTCAGTGTTTACCTGGCGCTTGCTCCGTCCAGTTCCACCTGGCGGGAATCCCAGGCAGAACTGGGGATGCAGCAGATACGTGGGCCAGATCACCCCTCTCTGCTCCTGGACTGGGGAGATTTTCATTCCCTCAGTGACTGCCCAGAAAGACTGCGTGTACCAAAGACCTGCTCTGTGAAGAGCAGTGGGGATCGGAGGCTGCCGGCAGGGGCTTCTGTCCGAGAGCGGGGTGAGCACAGGGAGCTCCTGGCACCACTCAAGGGACAAGTGGCTGACTGGCTGGGGACAGGGGAGGGACGAGGCAAGGGACTCCAGTCAGAGCTGCTGACTTGGAATGGTGGAGACTGTCTCTGCAGTCATTTTTTTCAAATTTCCAATGTCTCAATAAAGGGGGTGAAGTAAAAAACCAGAAATGATCTTGCCAGCTTAAGAACACAAAACATCAAAGCAGAGATTTCTGAGGCAAAGATTTAACTGTAGTCAGAAGGGGCAGGAAATTACAAGTGACTGTCCCTACGGCACCATTTCCTCTGGTCCCAGGGTCCAGCTGGGCGCTCTCAAATTACTCTGACCCTGAAAAATTTATGCCTTAAAATGTGTGCCAGGCTGCTGAGCTGCTATGGGAATGGCTGCTATGGGAAGTTGCTATGGGAATGGCCCCAAACTTTAAATTTTACAGAAACAGATAAATTGCAACAGAAGAGATAAATCGTCCCCACTGGATTACCCCAGCAGTGCATCCTAATTGAGTCACTACCGTCACCTCCTCGGGGATACGTTTCCTCAGATCTCCGTGGAAAATGTTCTTGCTGCTTCGCCTAAATTTTCCACCTTCTAAATGCTGCTTAATTTCTCCCACCTGCCTCTGTTGAACGTCACAATGCCTCCACTTTCCTCCTCTGTCGAGGCGGCTGCAGGCGGCACAACTCCTCCCCCAACCACCCGCAGGGCTGCACAAGCTGCTGTTTGATCTGAGCAAGTAGCTCCTCTTTTTTGTTCCCAGCTTCCACAGATTGGGACAATCCCTTTTTCCAAATTAGGAGGCAGAGCAGGAAATTCTGAGTTAGTGGCAATAAAAGAACAACTGAGTTATGAGGCCACGAGACTGCCGTAGAAGAGAAAACGTGTAGCCACCCAGGGTGGCTGTGTGGTGTCAGGAGAGCCCGGGGTTACCTTCTTCTTGATGCCATCTTGAATAACCGTGGTGCGGTAGAGCCTCAGGAGACCTTCCTCAGACAGGTTCCGCACCAAGCGGATAATGGACTTCTTACAGCACTTGGTGGACACGCCTTCCTGTTTCTCCTGATCCATGATCATTTTCTGAATCCTGGGGCATCACAAAGTAAGCAGTTAATGTTTGCAGTGTCAGTGAAGACACTACCTCAACCCAGGCAACCAAGACGTGCCTGATGGCATCCGGCAGGAACGAGCAAAGAATTAGAGGAGGTTTTACCAATAAAAGGGTTACTTTCAATATATTGAAAAGCATCTCTCTTGGAGATAATGGGTAGCTAGAGACAAGGCACCATTCACAGCAGCTTCACATTCTGAGCCTTTTGCCAGGAACTACAGCAATTACATGATTTGTGCCAGTAACGGGAGGGACACAGCACATGATGGAAATCTGTCTTCACTAAGTTTCCCTGCTAATTTAACATCCACCTAAGGAATGTGCCAGTTTACACTGTCAACAACCTCAGATGCAAAGCTCTCTTTTGAGCCCTCTCCTCAGGCACCTTCCTGAGTTACTATGGTGATGTTTCCAGATGACCAGTCATAGCATGGCAGGGCCAACAAGGGACTCCTACACGTTGCCAGAGCCCTCACTGTGCAGAAAAGGGGAGCTCAGCAGCAGCAGCCCCCACTCCCCAGCCAGGTAACTGGAAACCTTGACTGAGGGTGAGGGTGAGGGTGAGGCACTGAATGGAGAGGCGCCCCCACTGGCTGCCTCAGGAGCCGGAAGATGCCGCCCAGGAGGTGGTGCTAGTAGCAGAAGGAGCAAAGCCTCTACTTCACACACACCCAAGTCCTACTTGTGTCGCTTTTATATTTGCTTTCAGGTAAGATTTTGTTCGAACAAAAGGCTCCATGGAGAACTAAAAACAATGTTTATAAGCCTATGCTACTACCTGTTGAAGTCTCTTCTTACCACTTTCTAAGCACAGATCTGCAAGGAAGGAGAAAGGCAAACGCACTTTCCCCGGGGCCTGTGCGTCATGCTCATCATCCTCTCCCCAGAGGACGCACTGCTGTCCTCAATGCCTACACTGCTCGCATCAAAGAACAAACTCAGTCCTTCCTATCACACTGATGCTCTGAAACTCATGCAGCAGAAGAGAGAGTCAAATGCCTCTCATGCGTTCCTGTGGCTGTGACTAAATGGCATGAACTTCACTGCTAGTGCAAAGGGGACAGACAGACAACTTCTTACGTGAACAAGCTCTCGATTAAGCGGAGGTTGGTGACAGCTTCTATGATGAGATTCCTGCGTTTCAGCAGTCTGTACGTTTCGTGGGGCTTGTCTAGGCCTGGGCCGTGCTTCCCAGTCTTCTGGGAACTACTACTCTCCTGGGACAGAGACCAGAAACAAAAGCAGCCCAGAGTGAGAACCACTCACCTAAACTGGCCACACAAAATTCCCCGTCAAAATTGATAAACTAAAAGGAGTAAGTTGTGAGAAATTAAAATACTGAGCACGTCACACGTGGTAATACCAGAGGCCAGGCTGTGTGCGGGCTGGGATACACCAGCACAGCCCGTGAGGGCCTGGCCTCTGCCCAGCAAAGGTCAAGTGCCTGGCTTGGGACAGAGTCACTGTTCCTGACCTTGCGGCTGTTGTCATTCCTGAGCACAGAGCTGAGAAGGCTGCACAGCTCCCTCTGCCCCAGGGACAAGGCTCACTCCTCACCTTCGGGTTCTCAAGTCTGACCTCTTCAATCATGGCAATGTCACCACTGGTACTCTCCATGCAGTGGGAGCCGAAGGACACGCTGGGGTCTGAGGTGCTGCTGGTGTCCACGAGGCTGTCCCTGCTCACGGCGCTCCGGCAGGCTTTCTCTTCAGCAGCCCCTGAGGAAGAAGCCGGCTGCTTCTTCAGGGGGTGCAGGTTTACGAATTTCCACCCACCTGGGGGGGCAGGACCGGAAAGAATGAATCAGGTTCCATCAGGGGGAAAAGTGACAAGGACATTAGTGCTCAGACACCAGACCATCCACACAGGTCAAAGGATTCCATCTGGTCGACATGTATCACACTAGCAGTGCCCAGCCCAAATGTGCGTGCGTGCGCGTGCACACACACACCCCCACCCCGCCACAGCTGGATATCAAGTTGGGATGCACCCAATCTCATCTAAAATATAGTCTTCTATCACTAAACACCTTAGGAATTTCCCGAGTAGAGCAAATTTATGAAATTCCATCCCTTAAATAGTAAAAATGCAACAAAATAAACATTTGGCAGGGATAACGGGCGTGCAAGCAACCAGGAAACGGCCCACATGACAGACTTCTGATGCAGGTGACACCACTAGGTCCCAACTTCAAACAGCATCATGGAGATGCTCAGTTTGCTGAAATAAGTGGGCTATTATCTGAAGACACCCTGAGCAAGGTGGGGTTGGCAGTAGCTCAGACTGGAGGTGCACACACCCTTCCTAGTCCCCCCTCACTCCCTTCCATCACCCCCCACCTTGAGAGCGCCCCTACCTTTGCTTGAAGTGGAGTGATGTGGCTGAGCCCCAAGACTCAAGGAGGATTTCCTGTCCCCCTGGGACCCTCTGCCTCGCCTCTTGCTGCAGCTGCCACCCTCCTCCTCACTGTCCGACTCAGAGAGGAAAGTGTCTTCGCCCTCAGGCAACAGGGATTCCTCCTGCACCGAGGCCAGGCTCACTGTGGTCAGGAGCTCGCCCCGGGCCTTCTCCCGCTCATACTGTCGGCTGAGATCGCTCTCCTCTGCAAACACGCAGGAGATGTACTTGGTGGTCCGCTGCCGCCCTTCGTCTTCCATGAATCCCTGCAGGGGACGAGGCTCACTTACTCACAATCAGAAAAGGGCATCGCAACTCAGGCATGCTGGTGATGGAGGCTGCAGCGCTTACTTCCTTATCATTCCTGCATTCATCTGCCTCACCTCCATTTCACCGCGCCAGGTCAGGCCTCCTCAACCTTCCCATCATAGGTCTCCTCATCATCCCTCGGGTCCTGAGTGCACAGGCAGATCAGAGCTGTTCTAAACCATCATCGTGGGGGTGTTTGCTCTAGAGGGCTAACAGTGCCTGGAGGGGAGCACCCTCCCAGATATTCCAGGTCTCCCTAAGGCCTGACCATGAGAAATGGTCAGGAAGCAGTGAGGATCTGTTACGCGTGATTTGATGCCAGTGAGTCAGGGCCTGAAGTCACCAGCTCCATTCAGTCACTGCCAAGGAGCCTGATGAAAGCCGAGCACCAGCCCATGCCCATTTTGTATTCTAAACCAGGCGAAAAGGGCCCTCCCAGAGCCCTCAGTGGCAGAAAGAGTAACTCTTCTACCTGCTGAGCCATGAGTTCAGGGCTGAGTGCTCTGTAGTCATGAGTTCAGTGGCTACACACCCATCGCCAAACAGCCAAGAAGTTGCAAGAAGAGGGCACTGTGTAAGTTGCTGAGAGAGCAAGTCTGAGATCCAAAACCAGCATGCAAGCCAGCCAGGGCCCGTCCCCAGGATGGGGTGGGGGAGCAGCAGGAGGGGTGTGTCAAGAGTTGAGGAGCCCTGGAGAGCACCCCTTTGTCTTCAGGAGCAGATGGATGCCCGTTGGCTCTGCTGAGCCCGCACAGGAGTGTATCCCCAGCTGCCACGTCTCCTGCTGACCTTTCAGTACTGACAACTCATTTAATTTCTAAAAAGTGAAAACCAACAGAAGCCACAGGGAGGAGGAGATACGGGGGCTGAAAGCCAGCATTTGCTGCTCTCTGCTGTCTGAGACCCTCCTTGACAACCGCGCCGTGTAGACCCAGAACAGGGGACTGTGCAGAGCGGCTCGGGACATTACCTTGACAACTTTGAATCTTTGAAGAAGACGACACAGCATTCTTGCTTCCAGTTTTCCCACGTTCATTGCCACTCGGATTTCAGCTTGAGAAATTCCTTTCGTGCCTCTGCGCTCAACTGTGTGAAACAATACACTTGAACTCCAACTTCTGAGTAAGTCAATTCCACCCACCTTTTTCACCACAGACATTTTAGAACGCTGCCTGCTCTCCCTGGCCCTCCCAGGACTCTCCCGACACCACTACTGCTGGCTCATGTTCCAGGACTCACTACATGACACCTCGAGCCAGAGAGTGAAAGTCAAGTGACCAACTACTCCTCTATCAAGTTCCAGTAACATTGATTTTACCCAGCAGCAGGGAGTCAGCTCTTTCACATGAATGAACTTTTTTATATAACTGAAATTGACCCTTTAAAAAAAAATCAGAATAATTTTTAATGAAGAGCTTTTTCATTACTTTCTCCAAGACTTAGACATGGACATCGACATAGCTGCACTGCCCCGTAACAGCTGGGGGCCAGCCAACGCTATGCAAGCAAGTAAGGCCGTTTGTCCCTGCTTCAAATGGCCAGCAGACAACCACGCTCTGCCTGCAGTTTGTCAGCTCCTGTCCTGTTACACGCTGTCTTTTCTCAGGCTATTCCATATTTGCCTCTAAGAAGCCCTTTGAAATTTGTTCAGTCACTCTGTGACTGGGAACTCCAGAAAGCAGCCTGGTGGGGAAAGAGTAGGGGACAGAGAGTTTGTCCAGTAAAGCCCAGGCTCTGTGGCAAAGCTCTGTTCAGGTATTTCTCCTGCATTTCCTTATGCATCACTGGATGCTGCCAGGTACAACCAGTTTGGATTAGGCTCTATCATACATGCTAAAAAGAAATGTCAGAATAAACAGGTAACTAGGATGTGTTTCCATATTGAACTAGCTAACATGCTCAAAGTGGGGATGAAAGGGCTAAGGGCAACTTTCCCCAAACCGTGTTAGGAGGAACCTATTCTAAGAGAGGCTAGGAGTTGATCAAAACTACCCAACAGCCCCCCAAAAAGGCCAGGTGGCTTCACACCTGTGGCTCATTCAGGTCTCCTGCAGCCCCTCCCTTTCTACTCTGTCCTCCCCCAAGGGCTGGGGCCATATCGTCCACGGCACTGGGCCGCTGCTGTCCTGTGCAGATTTTAGGGATCCAGGGGAAGGGCAGTGAGATAGCTTCCCCCTTAGCAGCAGCACCTGCAGCCTGCGGTGACTCCGGCCCAATTTCAGAGGATGGTGACGGTGCTCAAATCTTTGAGTGGTAATATGAACAGTTCGTTCTTCCAACCCCGGGATGACACCAGCTGTTCTGAGCCTGCTCCTCATTGGGTCCCCACCTCACAGATGAGGGAATTAAGGCTCCTAGACCTTGCTAAGTCACACAGCCAACAAGCGGCAGAGCAAGGGTTCACTGAAGCCGGAGCCCTCAAGGGGACATTCTCAACAGCATGGGAGGATGGACAGGAGGCAAAATATCCCCCGACTCTCAGGCCAGGAAGCCCGTGCAGGTGGGTGTGAGCGCAGGACCTACTGAGTTCGTAGGTCTGTGTGAGCATATCCCGCTCATACACGACATCCACCGGCGGCACGCCCTTGGAGATGACCTCCTCGTCATCGTCATCATCCTGGTCGTGGTCGTCCTCCATCTTCCGTTTAAATTCCTTCAGCAGCTTGAGGCAGCGCACCATGACGTCAGTCCCTAGGAACAAGGCACATATTTCCCACAAAGAGTGAAGCAGGGGTGAGTAGGTTGGGGGAGATGCAGCAGACAGAGACCCAAGGACAGGTCACGCATAGCGCCATGCTCGGAACAGTTACAATTAGCATCCTGGGGCTTAAGACCTGAAAATTTGCTCCATAAAAGGGGTTTCTGTTTATTAAATCAATTAGCGAACAAGGACATACCAATCAAAAAAGAAACCAGGTGCCCTGTTAGTCCTGCTACATAAACAGCAGCTTCCGCCTGCTGCCATGGCAACAGGAAACGAGCCGCCCCTTCCCAGTGCCCACACACAGTTGGCACTGCTGAATGGGTAACACCATTTTTCCTTTTAGGCTGACACCCAATGCCAATAAGGCAAGGCAGCACTGTAACTGAGTTCTACAACCCTTCTAGAACATTCCAGGAAGGTTTTAACCTAGTGATCCCAAGGGTAGGAATTTACTCCTAGAAAATAACCCAACAAGAGGCCAAAGCTGCTGGTGATGAGAGGCCATGCAGCACCCTTTACAGCCTATTTGATGAGGACAAGGGACCGAGTGGTGGCGTCCACTTGCAGGCCACTGCACCCCTGGCTAGCACCTAATGCAAACCACCACACAGGGCCTCTATGCAGCCACGAAGCTGGTGGAAGAATAACAAGTCCTGCCTATGTCTGCAACAAGAGAAAAGTGAGAGGGAAAGCGAGACACCTTCACGCCTTACTCGCGCTAACTCAGTGATCCTGACAACCGAGGTGGCATTCTACAGGGGAAGCTGCTCATGCACAGAGGAGGTAAAAAAAAAAAAACCTGCCCAACAGCTTGTATGTGACAGAGGCACAGTCACCAGTCTCCAGCAGAGAAGAAATGATTCTGCACTAGGGTGCCCCATGACACGTGCAGTGTGGAGGCAGAATAATGGCACACAGTGGACGTGCTGCCTTCCATGGCAAAAGGCACCCGCAAGCAGGATTAGGTGAAGGTGTTCCATCATGGTGAGTGTGACCAAGGGTTCTGATATTATCCTGGATGATCCAGGAAGAAGCAAGGTAAGACATTAGTCCTCAGGAGAGGGAGCAAGAGAAACAGAGTGAGAGCTTGAAAGAGGCTACACTGCTGGCTTTGAAGATGGAGGAAGGACCACAAGCCAAAGAATGCAGGTGGCTTCTAGAACCTGCCCAGTGCTGACAGGGGATTCTCCGGGGTCAAAGCACAGGGCTTGCGGGCGAAGCTCACAATGAGGTCTCTTGGGGGCCTGGACTCCGCAGAAATTTAGCCTTGGGGTAAGGTCCAGTCATGGCTGACTCACTGGCATCCTCCAGGAGCACAGGCCTGAGACAAGAGGTCAGGAGTATGGGTAGCCACAGCGGCATTAGCCTGGGCTCATTCTCCTCTACTCCTCAGACAGGAAGCCCCCAACCCCCAACTTTTCATGGAAGGAACATGAAGTCCAAGTCATGGCACAGGCCTCTCAGAGTTCCTGTTCCCACTCCCCAGTCCTCCAAGACTTCCTTCCTTCCTCTGGGCGGGCAGCTTCCCTGACCTCACCTTCCATGTCTCTCCCCAAGAAGGGAGCCTAAAGCACCAGGAAGTGGATGAAGGGATGAGGGAAGCTTGTGCACATCTATATGGGTGAGAACTATTCAGGGCTCAAGCAACCAGGACTGGGTCCTCCTTTGGGAATTCCCTCTAATGACAATGACAAGAGGCCCACGGTGGCCAGTATACCCAGTAGGCAGCAGCAGACTGACCACTGATCCTTCCTCTCTGTCCTCTGCTCAAGCCCTTCTCAACCCCCATCTGGCCCCTTAGATGGTGGGGCTAATAACATGACTATTACCACTTCTCTAAGGTGTGCCGAGTCCCAGATGCTGATCTCAGCTCTCCACTGGTGTCTGAGTTAGTCCTCACCACAGCTCAGGAGCTAGGGAATTTGCCCACTCCACCCGCCACCCTCCCCACCCTTAAACACTTGAAGAGCTGGGATTTACCAAGCACCCCGGAGACCAGGTCCTAAATGTTAGACGAAATTATGGCCTCCAATTCAAAGATGTCCCTGTGACTGGGACGAGCAGGTGACCTGTGGCCAGTGTTGCTGTCTTGAGTGGGGGCATGATACAGCACTTGGAGGAGAAAGATGGACATGCTCTCAGGAACAACTCAGCATTATCTCTCACCCCTTTTAACTTCCTTAAGGGGCTTATTAGCCAATAAAAGATGCACAATAAACACAAAATAAACACAAGTGAAAAGGGGAAACGTTGCTGGTACACTCAGGGGCTCAAAGGGTAAAACCGGGAACATCCTTGAGGGCCTTCAAAGCCTCTGCTCCTGTCACTGTAGCCTCTGCAAAGCTTTGCATGGCTGGGTGTGAACTGTGCAGCCATGAGCGAGACAACAGCGAACATTTCTTGACAGCTCTGAGCCAAGCATCACGTGGAACACCCACTTGCGGAGACACAGCCAGCTCTCTACTGGCCTCTGAGGCTAGACTGCCCATAAGGACGGCCGGTCATGTGCTCACAGCCCTGCACTAGCCGCCGGCTCTTCCGAGCCTAGGGAGCATCCTTTCTCAGTCCCCCGAACAGTCGTGAGCTACACAGCAGAAAGGCCCGCTCGCCAGCCCTCAGAGCATCCCTTCAGGATTGCGTGTGCTGCCAGGCTATTTCCAGCCTGTGTCTGAGCCCCCTGGGGAGAGCTGCTTCAGCTCCCGTGTGGAGTTAATCAAACCAGATTTTACACCATTGTGGGTTTTTCCGTACATTTTAAAGCTCTCGCATTTAATAATTTTTGCCATATTAAAATGTGCTTTATTAATTATTAATGGTAGTACTTAACTTTTCTTTTTTTTGCTGGTGTCCTTTAATCACCTTTGTCGCTTTTCACTTAAAGAAATCCTGCTATTCTTAGCTGTTTTAACAGTTTTCCCCTTAGCACCATTAATTTTCTACTAGACCTTAAATTTTCCTGACAATTTCTATTCTGTTTACGTTCACACTTCATCCTTTTTTGTGTTTCTGATCTTCATTCTTTTGCATTCCACTTTTCTGATTTTAAAGTTCTTTTGAATATTTATTTCACTGCATGTTATTCCTTAATATGGTTCATTTCTCTTTTTTCTTGGCTTGTATACTTTAATTCTACTTTACTTAACTGTCACCCTTTGCCATTTAATGATCTTAATTTAGTTTTTGTACCTTGGTGTTTCTTGGTTTTTTTTTTTTTTTTCTTTAAAATTTTAACAGCTTGACTGTTATTTCACATACCACATGAGCCACCTACCTGAGGTGTACAAGTCAGTGTTTTTTTTAGCATATTCACAGGTATATGCCCCTATTGTTACAGGGCAGGGTTAGGGGCAACCCAGGCTCCCCAAAACTGCCTCCTCTAAATAGGTTCTGCCAACCACCACATTAAGATGAAACATACTCTAGTGCATAGAACCTTCGATGGAAAGGAACTTTAATACAATTAGTGTGCAATAAAGAAAAGGGAAAGAATAGATAAAACAGTTTTCACACGATACACCCAAAGTTACCCTTCCCCTAGAGGGTAAATGCCCAGCCACACAGGGTTGGCCCAAAGCAGGACCACTGAAGCTCAAAAGTTGGCCACAAGTCGAAGGCACCTTCTGGTGGGGGCCCATAGGAAAGGGGCAGAAGGGCCAGGCAAGTCTGGGATGAAAGGAGCAAAATCAAAATCAAGACAAAGGCTGCCATCGTTAACCTCCCCACGTGTCTCTCACCCACGTCTGTTCCAACTGTCTCCTTCTATGTCCCCCAAGTCCCTGGTGTCAGTCCAAGGCCAAGATGCAAGCGCAGCTTCTCACATGTCTCTGCCCCATGTGCGTCCTCCAGGTCGCCTTCTTCATTCCTTCCATCTCGTCCTCCCTGCTCCGCTGTACCCTCCCTTGAGTGGGGCAGGGACCCTGGAATCTCCCCTTGCCCAGGGGCTCGCCTTGTTATACTATGAGAATTAAACGTGTTGATGCATTTAAAGTGCTTTTGATACAGGGCCCCACGGCTACTAAAGCCCTCCAAGGACTGTGTCCAACAGAGCACAGGGCACTCTCTGTGAGTTCTTCACCAATGCACCCAACTGCAAGACCACTCAAGTTCAAGGAACAACAATAACGGGGTTTATTTAACAAACAGGGGAAACAGAGTTCGTAAGGCCACGGGGCCAGCTATCTCACCCGAGAGTCCACAGTATTCAGAAGTCCCAAACCAAGGGCCATTCCTCCAAGATGAAATCCTTCCACCGACATCACCTGGAGGCGTGGCAGGTGGAACCATGCAGCTGCAGCTGCCCTCGGCAACAGTGCAGAGGTTGAGGTGAACAGCATTTGTTTTGTTTCTATTTTAGGAGTCAGGGGGCAGCAGTGGTGGGAGAGTTCACATCTTACCAGGGAGGTGTGGATGACCCCCCCCAGGCCTGAACCGGGAATACCCCCTAAGTGGCAGCTCAGTCATTAGCCCCAGGGAGCTTCCCACTGTGGCCATTTCCCCAGGGACTGCAAAGCCAACTTCTATTTCTTCTCCTTCTGTTCTCAGCCCAATTTAATAAACACAGAATGACTGGTAAACACTTGAGGAAAATAATCCAGATTTGCAAAATAGATCAGTTCAGGGTGACTGTTTTCATTAACAAGATTTTTTTTTTTTTTTGCTTTTTGCAAAACAGAACACTGCAGCTTTCTGAAACGCATCTGAAATATGCCTAAATTCAGACTCTTTGTTCACAGACTTTTAGAAACAGCTCACATATACCCAGGCACACCTGCAAATTTACAAGAAGTAATACATCATCTTTATTTATTATTTAAGTCTCTTCTATTCCATAATGCCTTGGAGGAAAGGCTTTATGTAAATTCTGCAAACTGGGAAGACAAAGCTCAAGGCAAAAAAAAAAAAAAAAAAAAAAGGCTCCAACTGTATGTTCATCCCTGGTTTCTTACACAAGTTAACTGAAGTGGCACCTAATTAAATTAAAGTGGCTAAACATTTACTTAGTGCCAACTCAGTTCCAAACAGACTCCTAAGGGCCCCCCTGGGCGCCCCTCCCCCCAGGTGTTTTCTTCGTTTCTACACCTGTTGTGTGGTGGCCTCTTTGTAGCACCATATCCATTACGAGGCCTTTCTCAGATGCAGGGGCATCAGACAAGGTGGCAGAGGTAGCCCTTAACCTTAGAAGGCTGTTCAGTCACCAAAGAAACAGACTCCCCACCTGCCCCTGGAGCCACCGAGCTCAGAGCTGGGGACGCCCTGGGGCTGTCCTGTTCACGGAGCAGGTCTCCACAGGTCACTTGCTGTGCCCACCAAATCAAGCACACAGGCCCTGATTGTTTTATCTTACATACTCTTTGGGTTTCCTTGGAGTTACAACATTCCCCCCCTTGCTTGCTTTACTATGCATCTGTCGCTAATTCATACTCAGACTCTAAAAAAGCACAACTTTCCCGAGACACCTCAGATGCACTAGGTGTTCCCAGCCTTCCTCGGCTCCCATTTCATGGCTTGGCCTTCATCTGGGGCCTTCATCACCTCCCCGGGATCCTCTTGTCTCCCTGCTCTCTGCATACCCTATGGCCTGTCTGTCTTAGTCTGTCACCACATGGTGTACCTCTTCCTGTAGTGTCCTAAAATGAACACGGGAGATGAGAGAGGATCCTTTCAGATCAGCAAGTAAGAAAATGTCCTCATGCCAGGCACCGACAGGCCTTTTGATTTGGAAACTCACACCCTCAGATCTGAGAAACTCTGGGTGTCCTTTCCTATCACCTCCTCTCTGGGCCCGGAGCACATTCCTCACCCTCTCTCTGGAACCCCTTTAGGCTCAGCATCTTATTTGCAATCCAGGTCTCCTATTTCCTATCTTTTTAAATTTCTGTTCTTTCGGGGAAATTTTCTTCACATTATCTTTACTATCTTCCCTTCCACTAAACCTTTTATTGCAATAGTCACATTTCTTTACTTTCCCAAGTGCTCTGTTTATTTCCTGCATGTCCCTCTTTTATAGCCTCTTGCTCTGGCTTCATGGATGCCACATCTTCTCTTCTTGCTGAGGCTTCTTTTAAGTTTTCTTCTGCTCTTTACTTTGTTCTATTTCATAAGTTCGCTTTTTAGTTTCCCTTACATTCATATTAGCATTCTCTTCAAATATTTGATGAAGCATTAAAATGCTGCCCTAAAGTCCTGTGTTTTGGAGCATGGGGAGGCAAAGGGGGGAGGCTGCCCTTGTGTGGACTTCTGTGAAGGGTGAGCAGGCAGGAGCTCCTTTTGGTGGCCATCTTGGATGTCTTTTGTTTGGGACTTCAAAACACTGGACACTGCTTGGGGTGAGATACCTGCCACTTGTGGCCTCAGTGACTCTTTGTTTTCCTTTGTTTGTTAAATAAATCCCATTATTGTTGGGACTTAACCTGAACCTGAGTGGTCTTGCAATTGTGTGTACAGGTGAAGAACTTAGACAGTGACCAGTAAACCATTTGGGCACTGTCCGTGGCTGGTTTTAGTGCCTTATTGCCCAGTAACAAAAGCTCTGACCCTCAGAGTTTTAAATGACTTCAGTTAATCAAGAAGAGTTAAACAGAGTGGGATAAAAATACGAAAGAAAAATAGAGGACTAAAAAAGGTTCTTAAACATATATTCTGTTGTCCTTAGTTTAATTTTCTTAGAAAGTTCAAATCCTACCTGTTACTTACTGATTGTTTAACCTCATGTAAGATACTGAGCACCTCTTCACTTTGACTTTCTTATATGTCAAATGGTGATAATATCACCCACCATGCAGCACAGAACAGGTGCTTGAAAGTGCTTCTGGAGAGTGGACAGTGGCTTAGTAAGAAGGAAGGTGAGCTTGTACTTTGGATACCACACATCTGAGATGCTGGAGGGACAGTCACAAAGAGATATGAGCTGAAGTTAGACTTGCTTCATCCAGCAAACACTTCCTAAGCACTATTTACATCAAAAATTCTGAGTCAGACACTGAGGAATAAAGAGTTGAAAAGTATGTGAAATCATCCCATGAATGACAGAACGTGAAGAAAAAGGCTGGAGTTTAGGGGAAGTGAAAGCCATTCAGGCAGTCAAGGGACACTGGCTGAGACTGTCTTTACCTTTCTTTGTTTTACACGGTCCACATTCAGGATGAATCTCTTGTAAGGGAAGAGACACCACCTTTGCCAGCCCAGCATTCAGCATGTACTGGTAGAGACGCTTAAATGTCCTTTCGCACAGCCCCTGCCAAGACAACATTTAAAAGCCACTTTCAGTACAGGTACAGTGTCTAAAACTATTGGAGTTATGTGAGCAAACTCCAATATAGGACCTGAGTTAATTGATCCATCCCGAACGAGGAAAGCCTGTCAAGGACACTGTCAAGAAAGAAAAGAAGGTCCAGAGAAGACTACAGACAGACTTGTGATTAAGGGGACAGAGAGTTTCTTTATTCTATGAAATTTCAACAAAATGCTGATAAGTACTTCCAACTCATCACTCGTATTTCTGCATAGTGACGCAACCAAAATGATGGTAAGTGCTGCTCACTGGCTGGTCACTGGCAGCAGCCTCCAACACAGGCCATGTTCTATTATCTATGTGCCTGTTTTTTTTTTTTTTTTTTAGTACTTCATTTACCAACATTGAACAGTAACAGATTTCATGTGAAAAGTCAGATTCTGGCTTCTATTGAAAAACAAGACCAGGCCACAAATCCTAGGACTGCAGGGCTTCACAGCTGCAGTCAGTGGGCGCCGAGGATATGGCTCCCTCAGACAGGCCTGCATGCACAGGGCGCCCCGGCTTCACCCCCATCAGCCTGCACACTGAAGCTAGACCCATTATCCGTTATCAACATTTATTTGTGTGCCACTTCTATCTGATGGCAGTTAAGAGGATACTGAAAAGAGTTCGCCAATCCACACCACTATGAAAACAACTTTTTATGCTTAACCTCGTACACTCATTTCCACTGCCCTCTTGCAACTGCTGGCATTTGATTTTGCAAACCCTGAATAATGAGGCAGGTTACCTCTGTTATAAATTAAAGACTGAATAGCAGGAGATGCTCACAACTAAGAGCCACTAGTTGAGTCTTACAGGTTCCTCCTACCCTCTAGGGGAGACGGGGAGCACGTGTGGGCTCCACTGCCACACGTATAATCAGCTTTCTGACTAGCCAAGCTCTCGAGGCGCTGGGAGGCAGGACAGATGGTCACCAAAGAAATACAGATGACACCCATACGGCTCACTGGAAGCCACTGGCATGGAAATGGCATCCATCATTCATCTAGCTGCACCCCCAGCAGCATGTAAAGACCCTATGGGAACTCATCCATCAAATCCTAACCCTAAGCCCTGAACCATCCCAAGCCAGGCACGATGACGTAGTCCTGCCTCTGGGGGCTGCCATCAGGATTTGCACAGTCTGCCAGCAAAAGGAGAAGCAGCAACAGGAGCCTCCCTATGGCCTCCCTATGTCTGTACTTACTGCATCAACCCCATCAATAGGCTAATCATTCCAAAATCCTGGTCAGCAAACTCTGACCCGTTTCCACCTGCTGCCTAGACATCACCAGTGAGTGTCCAGAAGAACTTCACACTCAATAAATCCTAAATCAAGCTGACACATGATGGCAGCCCCCAGAGGCAGGACTACGTCATCCTCCCTGGCTTGGAATGGTTCAGGGCTTAGGGCTAGGATTTGATGGATGAGTTTCCATAGGGTCTTTACATGCTGCTGGGGGTGCAGCTAGATGAATGATGGATGCCATTTCCATGCCTCATCCTCACTCAGACTTGTTCCTCTTCCTGTGTTTCCTAGTCATGCATTTATCCACAAGTACTAACCTGGTATCTACCAAGGGCCAAGCACTGCCCTCCTGGATGGGGGAGGTGTCCGGCCATGAACATATCTGATCCCTGCTCTCCTGAGCCTGCCCAAGATGGAGCTCTGGTCCACTTCAAGAGGGGCTCACTCAGACAAGTCACTCACGTCAGATAAGACCCTCTCCTTCATTCACCTCTTCTTCCTGGCCTCAGTCACTACCAAGTCTTGCCAGTGTGACCGCCAACCTTTCAAGACCTCACAGTTACCCACCCAGCCCAAGACAAGAGCATCCACCTCACTGCCTGCTCTAGTCTCATCCACCTGTCAGAGCATTTCCCAAACACTCTTTTCTTCTGGTAACTTTAGCTAAACCCAACTCTGCAGACTGGCACTCAAGACCTTTTCTTCCAGCCACATCTCCCACACCCAACCCCACCGCTGCCTGACTACCCTGGACCACTGCTGACTTCTACAAAGTCCCAGGCAGGGCATTCCCCAGCCCTGCACCTTATGCCCAAGCTCTTCACCTTTGCCTGAAATGCCTTTTTTGCTCTGTCTCTTCTGGGAACACCGACATCTTGAAAGGCCAGATCGACTGTAACTTGCAATAAAGGGTTCCCCAGCCCTCAAAAGAAATTGCACTTCTCTTTGCAGGGAGCTTACACACACCCTGTGAGGTGGCGCTGTAGCCAACTCGACTGCTCTGGACAGCCTGAGGCTGTCATCCTCAGGAACTGTTGTCATCTCAGTGCAGAACACATTTCTAACTCAGAGTCACTGAAGAGAGAGAGGAAACAATGTCCTGTAAAGTCAGATCTTGTTTCTTAGTGAGTCCACAGCACTGACCTGGGACCTAGCTGGGTGACCAAGGACAGCAAAGGGACTTCACCTCCAGTGTCTGTATGGCCTCACAGGCCGGACAAGTAACACAAAACACAAAGTGGGCAGATACTCGTTTATTAAACATGTAGGGATATTTTCATCTCTTCTGGGATCGCAAGAAGAGGCTTGTCAGTCTACTTTTTATCTTTTATTTTTCACTTTTGATATTTCTCTCCTATCACCAACAGCAGTGCACACGGTGCCTAGAGATGACAGAAGTCAGGGTCGAGGGAGCTGGCCAGGACATAGCCAGTTCCAGCTGCCCCAAGAGAAGGCAGGCTCCTGATGTTTCAGGGAAAATGGGAAATCTCAATTTTACAAAATACTTGATCAGATTTATTTTTAATAAAGTATAGGCTCAAAGAGATGCAGGTGTGCACTGAATTGAGTCAGAGGGAACCGCTCCCCTAAGCAGGAATGCAGAGACTAGAGCATCTCCAGCATCAGTGAGGGTCAAGGAGCATCCCGGGGTTGAAGTCAGACTCTACGCCATGTTCCTCTAAGCCATGTTCCTCTGGGGACTGTATGCTATAACCCAAAACATTTGACTTGAAATTTTTAATTTTTAAGTTCAACTGTTTAACCTCCAGGGACCATTTGTTTTTCTCCCATTTCCAACACTGCTCATCCCTAACTTCCTCTCAGCTCAGATTGCAAGCAGCGCCGCCTCCACACTGTCTTCCTCATCCTCACCATCACTGCCCCGGCACATGGGCCAGAGATTTCTCCTGTGTCCTCTCACCTCTCCTTAGCACAGTCACTGGCATGTCAGAATAAAACCAGTGGGAACAAAATGAGAAGCTTGATCACAACAGCTAAACTTAATGCCAGGGTTCACTATTCCATGAGAATTTTCACAACAGGTCCTGGAGCAAACCCCAGGGGAAGATGGCCTCAGTCAAGAGCAAGAAGGATTCAAGGAAGGACTGAGCACGTTCCCATTCTATGACCCAAAGGAAAACTCCACTTGCTTCAAGCTCAGGGATAATCAAGTCTAGAACAGGGCTTTCCACTGAAATTTATTTACGATGCTTGACAGAGATCCCCACACTGGGGCCAGATCAATTCGCCCTGCACCCAGGAAGCCCACAGCTCACCAGCTCTTCCCGAAGCTTTCCCAGTGTCTCTATCTGGTTACTCCGTGTGCTCAGAACACCTGAAAGTTTCTCCATGAGGATGTCATATTTGCTCCTCCTGCAAGAAATACAAGAGTTCATTTTTTCAAAACCTATTGCTAAAGATAACTTGTTTTTTAAAGATGACAGGCAAGACATAAATGACTACATATCAAAGTAGAGAACCTTAGTCTTATGTCTCAGAGGCCATGCAGCCCAACTCCTGCACTTTACAGCTCAAGAGGCTGGGCCGACCCGGTAAGTCACACGGCCAAGGTCACCTAAATGGTAGCAGTGGACAGACTTGACTCTATGGCTAAAACTTTAACAAGTCTTACAAATGCCTTACATTTGCATAATACCTTAAAATTTAAGAAGCAATTACCTATTTCTTTATAAGTCATTTGGTGAGGAATGATAGGTGTGATTTCATACAGAACTTTACAGAATTTCTAAATCCAGGACCAAGACCGGAATGTAGGTCTTTTTCCTGTGAATCCAGTGCTCTCTTCCCTGCACCACAGGCCTCCAGTTCTGAAGCCTGGTTTTTGCTCTGACCTCTCTGGTTGATGAATCCCAACTCCTGCCTTGATTTGGAAGTGAAGTGGATGTCACAATAAATGCTTCCAAGTAATGCCACCAAGAGAAACTAGTAAATGAAGTAAGGGCTCCAGGCTGTGTGTGCCCCAGGGGTGGCGGGGAGGGTCAGGGAGGAGCTTGTAGCCATCATGACTGGGGGAGGACAGCTTGGCTTCAACTGCCCACGGGTCTGGGGCAGGGAGGGCAGAGGGATGAGATCCAGAGACTGCCCACTGCTCCATTTTCACTGCCTTGCAATGAATGAACAAATGAAGGCACATACTGATGGTGTGAGCTAGATGCCAGCACTGTCGTGACCATCTTACAGAAGAGGAAAGAGTGGCTCAAAACAGCTCAAGTGACCTGGCGCAAGTAAGGGGCAAAAATATAGATACAGATCCTGACTTAGTCCAGAGTCCCACTGCTGCCCATAGCTGCACCCTTTGTATTTTGCAGGCTACGCACTAGTCACGAGCTGGGTGATACAGCTATTTAACTCATGGGCCATATGACTAAATAATTAAAATGTGAATTCTCAAGCATGATACAGGTTTGAAGAAAAATTTGGAGTTTTGACAGGAGTACAGTGATGTCTTGCTACCGGAAATCCTTACTCCACGGTCAGCCTGCACCCATATATCAAGGACTTTCTTTGGGTCACTCCCAAGCAATGCAGTGGGCACTATAAACTTTTAAACTTGTACCTAATCCTGCTCAGCCCTCTTCCTTTGGGGGAAGCCTGTGGAGTCATAGTTCCCCACAGTCGAGGGACAGGGTCTGCCCACCTGAATCCCAACTCTTCCATGGCACTGCCCACTCCACTCTGGAGCACTGCTGCTCTGGCAACCACCCACGGGTGACTTATCCTCAGCCACATGCCAGCTTGACCTTTCCGCATCCTGGCCCCTGTCCCCACCAGGGGAGGCGGCGGTGGAGTACAGGATGAGAGCTCCGCGAGGTGGGGGGACATCTTCCCCCATTCCTAACCCAGATGATTAGTCACCCCCACAGGACGGGGCCCCTCCCAAAGACTCCCTGGGTATTAGAAAGGAATGGGCTCCAGCTTGCCATTCCTTCTGGAAGATGATAACATGTGGGAACACACAGCTGAACAGCACCACCACGCAAAGGAATCATTTAACAGAAGCTCACCATCTCATCCATGTAGGCTGGTTATCATGGTTGTGAGTTGCCAAAGAAAGCCAATTTGAAACTGATAAAATCCAACTTCAACTATATCACCATCACAAATCAAATTTTACTTGCTTATTTTCACACACTCTCCAAATTCACCTAAATGTTACCTGTCCCTACTGCTGGGCTGTGAGGTTATTTTTCCCCTCGTTCTGTGTAATTTCCTGTGTTCAAAGTGAGCACGACTTATTTTTATAATCAGAAATAAATGATAATTATCTGTTCTGAAAAGCTATAGTCATGTTCTGATTTGGCCTCTGGTTTTCAAAGGTGTGACACAGGCCGCAGCAAATGTAGCAGGTGCTCCGGTCTCTGCACACTGTACCTGTCCACGTGGAAGCGGTTCAGGAGGAGGAGGATTGAGTGCTGCTGGGCTCCGGTGGGTAATCGGATCACATGTGACTGCATCGTAATGAGGCCATTTTTGTTCAAAATTTTCCTGTGGTAGTGAAGCTTCCCGGCATCCACCCTGGAAGAGAAGAAGAATGTGGGCTGTGGCGTTTGGCTCTGCTGGCTGCTTTCACCCCACAATGTAGACTCTCGCCTGGACCTAAGACACACGCCTCCTACCCAATCAACCTAAGGGAACAGTTACATGAACCATGACCTTGGGGAAAAAGCCATGTCTCAGCCTAAGGACACCAGGAGAGGTAGGTGGGGAGATGGGTGGAAACAAGGGGAAATGAGGGAGGATGGCTGGGTGGAGACAACAGTAGCTAATGAGATGATCAAATACGGGTCTCAAATCCCGCAGTAGTCAATAACCGGGGCAACCACACATCCTGGTTTTTGCATTGGCCTTGATTTATGCCCATTGCTTGGCATCCCTCCTGCTCAGCTCCACCTTCCTTCTACTCTCGAAATGTCTGGTTGGAGGATCACGGTTGAGCCCAAGGTCTCTTAAAAAAAAAAAAGCATCGTACTCCCAGGCATCAAGGTGGCAGGAATGGGGAGAATGGGGAAGGTAAGTCACAGGCTACTGTGTCTGGGGGCAGGACACAATGACCAGGGAGCCCTATCATTTAAACCAAAGAAGCCAGCCATCCCCTCACTTGAAAGCAGAGCTGTGGAGGTCTCGCTGGAGCTCCCCTTGCCACCTGGACCGGCCCAGTCGCTCCAAAATGCAGTAGGAGAAGTCGGGGAGCTTCAGGTCAGGGTCGCCCTCTGCACCAATCAAGGCCCTGTACCGCATGTCCTGGGAGGCAACGATGATCAGCTTCTTCCCCCACCTGCAAGGCAGGAAACAACAACACGAAGACATAACTTTAGTAGATTTTAAGAAAAATGAAATGAAAAAGGAGAACCTTAGAGAATTACTATTTTCTCTGGCTTCTTAGAGGTTTACAATCCCCCAAGGAAGCAGGTTCAGTCTCAGACAGAAGATGAACAGTGCGCAGGATGAACAGCGCTTTCTTGCCTAAAATCCTCCTGGGCCTCTGCAGCAGAAACCCCATCACTTGCTGACAACTTGGCACTGAGATACTCCCAAGCGCTAGAGCTCCCTCTCCAGGAGGAACAAGTCACCATGGGTCCATATAAAAGACCCCACAGGCTACCAAGCCTTCTCTTGAGTGGGCATCCAATCTTCCCACGCCTGCAGTGCACAGATGCATGACCACAAAGTCTGTTTTCAGTCATATCACTCACCCTGACCGTCCTCCCTCCTCCGGCCCCACAAATGTTTCTACCACCAAGTAGGCAAAAATGAAAAAGAGAGGCTGTCTACACTTTAGCTGCAGCTCCCCTCACATTGTTTGGGACCCAGAGTTACTCTTCTGCAAAGTCATGCAGATCTGTATGGTCCACCTTCTGAAAGAATGCAGATTGGGATACATGTAGGAGACAGTCTGTGGCTGCTCTGTGGCTACATACCACAAATTTAAGACCTATGCTGTCTCATCTCAAAACAGGTCTCAGAGTTAAACCTGAAGAGGTAAGCTGGGAAAAGAAAATTTGAAAACAGGGCAATCGCTTGCTGGTTTGAAATTTACATGAGTTTACTAACCTTAACTATCCAGTGTTTCCAATTAGTTGACCTGGTGACTCGCGCTAGTCTAATTTGCTGACTGGTCATCATACAGGTTATCAAATACCCACTAACCCACCAAGCAAAGTATCAGAGATACTAAGATAAATAAACATGGTATCTACCTTCGAGGAGCTCATAGTCCACTGAAGGAAAAAGATAAGGAGACAATTATGCTACGAGGCGGGAGCTGCTCTGCCAGAAAGCCACACTTGAGGGGCCCCAAGTTAAACTTTCATGGGTGAGTAGAACATGTGACAGCACCTAGGGGCAACTCCTAAAGGAGGTGACTCGAGTTAGCAGTTAGGCGGGCGATGACAGGGAGGAGGGCAAGGAAGCAGAACACGCAGGTTCAGGGCAGGGGAGCGTGCCGCTCTGGGAGGGGAGTGGTGTGGCATGGGCTGGAAGTCGGCTGTGCGACAGCAGGCGAGAAAGCAGAAGGAAGGAAAGCCCGGCAGTGGGCAGGAGTCCACATCCTGAGTGGCTTTGTGATGTCTTGCTGGGGAGCTTAGTTTACATGAAATAGGGTCAGTTAAATTTCAAACCCAATAATGCATTTTTAGGAGCCAACTTTGGGCTGGCTACATCCTGGATCCTAAAGATACAGCTATGATCAAGGCAGACAAGAGATCATGCCCTCGGGGAGCTCACAGTCAGTGAGGGAAGAGCCAAATAAACAGTTTTTAAAAATTTTTGGTACTGGGCCTCCCCGGTGGCGCAGCGGTTCAGCGCTGAGTTGCAAAGCTGCCCGCAGCCTCTGCAGCGCCGGTTCAATCCCCGGCTGCTCCCCGGCCACTGGAGGAGGGTCCCACATGGCGCGCAGACCTCTCCTGCTGCCCGCTGCTCCCCTCAGCAGTGTACTTCGGTCCTTCTGCCTGCTCTGCTCCCCGCTCTGGCTCTGGTGAATTCTCTCACCCTCCCGCGCTTCTGACTGTACCCAGTGCTTGTATAAATAAATAAATAAATGTTTAAAAAAAAATTTTTTTTGGTACTGAATATAATGGTGCCTGATCAATGAGGGACACTTGATGAGCTGTTTAAAGCTGAATGAAGAGGAGGTGGTCAGGGAGAACATTCTAAGAAGAAGGAAGGGCACGTGCCACCGCGCTGAGACTGAAATGAGCCCAGCACACTCAGGCTGAAGCACAGCGAAGAGTGGGTTGAGCTGAGAGGCTTAGGACAGAGAAGGGGGAGGGCAGGGCTAGGTCCTCAAGTCCTGGGGGCCCCGCAAGGCAGGGGGAATCATGCGGGAGCTCGCTTATGGCTCTAGCCGATACCGCCAAGTCAAACATCCGATCTCAGCATAGCTAGGCCTTGTGATTTTCTTTAGAGAAACTAGAAATTCAAATTTTTATATATTAGCAATGAAATAAAATAAAATCAAAATCATATTAAAGCCCATGCTATTGAATAGTTAAACAAAGAAGGGGGGGTGGAGCAGGTTTGGTGAGTTTGAAACCTCTGCCCAGAGAGGGCACTATTCTTGCTGTCACAATTCCAGCTTAGAAAACAACCCCCCACGCGGTGCAGAAAGCAGCAGAGAGGACACAGGAAATCAGAAGGCTGCTGTGTGAACGTGAGGCAACGGGAGTTTGAGAGAAGTCAGAGGTCTAGTCCACACGACTTGGTGGTGAATTAAATATAGAAATCAGGAAAGAAGGGGACCCCTGACCACAAAAGGGGACCTCTGACCACAAAGAAAGCAGGTTTGGGGGAAGGAGGGTGAAGCTCTAATTTTGGGCCCACAGGGTAAGAGAGATTGGTTATCGAAATAGCACACAGGCACTGGGGAGGAGGTCTGACAGAGGCCTTAGAAAATCCAGCACTTACGGGGTGGGAGGAAGTGGTGGAGTTCACAAAGGAACTAATGAGGACCAGCCAGGAGAACAGAAAACAAAGTTCTAAGCCACAGAAGCAAAAGCTTCAAAGTCTCTAATGCGGTAGAGGGATAAAGGAGATTAAGGGTCTCAGAGTGTCCACAGGCTTGTTAATCTGGGTCTTATAGAGTAAGATTTCAGTGAAGCAATAAAGTCAGAAATCAGGACGGTGGTGGGCAGAGGGGCGAAGGGAGGTGATACAGGAGTGTAGCTATTTCTTGCAAGAAGCATGGCTGCAAGAGCTACAGTTACAGGCAAGATCAAGAGAAAGTCCTGTTGTAGGGTGGACGAGTCACAGTCACGTGTGCGGGGGAGAAAGCACCAGTGGATAGTTACGTTGAAGACAAAGGAGAAATGTTGGCAGAGGTAAGAAAGAGCATGAGGGAGAGGAAGCTGGGGAGGCGGGGAGGGACAGGCAGGAAGAGAAACATGCTAGTTGCGGCCATGGCTTCTTGCTGCCTCTGGGAGAAGGTAGAGGGAAGAAATGTGCAAGGGGCTGCAGAGAGTAGAAGTCAGGAGAGCTTGTGTTGGTAGCTTCTCCCTGTTCTGTAAAGTGAGAAGGCAGGAGGGGGAATGGGGTAGGGACTTGAGAAAATGACAGTCTAGATTAGCCACTCTGGGAAATTCGGACCCTGGTGAAGACTTACAAAAGGACCAGTGGGCAGCAGCACAGGCAGCTTTGAGAGAAAGAAGGGGCCATCCAAACGACAGCGCCTGCTCTGCCCAGCTGTGCCAGAACTGAGGACACAAAGGGAAGAGAAAAGCAGCCTCCTTCCTCTCCTTTCTCCCTCCTACCCTAAGCAAAATCAGCCCCACAAAGCAGAGTGAAGAGAGAGGGCTGGCTGACTGGGGGGCTGACTCTGACAGACACCAAGGCTGCTGACCAGTCCCAACATTCTGACCACATCCCTGACTTCCAAGCAGATTCCCGTGAGTTTCTGACAGCGCTAGACGGGGTACCTGTCAAAGGCCTCCACCACAGTACAGCGAGGCTGCAAACACTTGGTCCTGATGTCATTGGTGATGTTTTTCCTCTCCTTAAAGTACCGGCACGAGCCCTGGATGCCATCCTTATTCTCTAGGATCATGTGAATGGGGTAGACATCCTCCAACGTTACCGGGTCCCTCCTGGACTCCAAAATTCCAGTTTCCAAGTCAATTTCTTCGTACCTAAGGGGTAGCAAACAAATAGCAAACCACAACTCAGCTTCATAGACAACCCATGCTTTTGTGTTCTGGTGACCGCCAGCAGGTCTGAGACAGAGGGAGTGAGATCACGCAGTCTTCCTGCCTCATGAATGCAGATCATCTTGACAAGTAGGGTTCCTGCCTCTCTATTCCACAATCCTCCAAATCCACCCAGAGCCTGAATGCTAGAACCAGAACCACCTTACTAGCCCTAGAGTGGCCTTCTGGTTTCCCGCCAAATCTGGTGCATGCACATTAGCAATTCTCATCTTTGAATCTTCCGTCCTGTCTTTTCCCCCAAATAATAATTCTGTATCTTCCTTCAAGTGTCAACAAGTGTCTCAAATTTGATGAGATCAAAACCAAAATTGTGACTGCCTCTCCCCACCTCCAATAAAGTCCCTCCTTGGTACCATATTCTCCCTGTTGCCTCATATCAACACTATGGAGACACCTTTGACCTGCTTATTTTATCCAGTCAGTCAAGTCTGTCACATTTTCTTTAGAAATTCTAATCACATTTTGGACTCATGCAGTTAAGGCTAAATCCCAGATATACTTTTAACCCTTTCCTTCCTTGCCTTCTCTATGACCTCTGTACCACCCTAACCCTCCACTCTCATGGCACATCTTCCCCAGATTAGAGGACAGCACTCTGGACTGTGGTCCTCTGCCTCTCTAGCTACACTGGCCAGAACTCTTGTGAAGGTTCCCGCCTTCCATCCAGCCTTCACATGCAGAAACACCTCAGGGCATATCTGAAGGTCTCCAATCACACTACTCTCTCTCTCAGACAGCACTGGCTAGTTCTCTCCTGGCCAACACCTTTAATTACTAACCATCTGGGGTGATTCCACAGGTCTAGCTTGCTCCCTCCCTATGGCCTGATTTTGCTCCCATGTAGCCAGATTCTTTATTAAACAGAATCTCCATTTGGATAACCCTAAGGAACCTCAAACTCAGTGTATCTCCAAGTACATTTAGTTCCACCCCCGCCTCCCCCAGACTCAAGCATAGTGTGCTGTTCTCTGTTCCCTGCCATAATGAAGGACACCAGTATTCACTCAGCTGCCCAAACATGAGGTACCGGAGGGCATCATCTGTGATTCCTACTTTTTACACCCCACATCCTATCAGTCATCAGTCACTCTTGATTCTCCTGTGTACTAGGTCTTGATTTCACCTGCTTCTCCACTTTATTCTCACACCTACCACACCAGGACTAGGTGTCTGTGACTGGATTACTACAAATCTCTCGACTTCACTCTTTGCCCCCAGTCTGACCCTCCCTTCAGTGGCTTCCAACTGTCCTTTTGATAAAGTTTTTAAATTGATTAAAAGATCACTGATTACCTCCCCAGTCCAATGTGGTATATATAAGGGCAGCCTGGATTCAAACTCTGGGTTCTGCCCTTGCTACTTGATGACACCAAACAAGTCACTTCAGCTCTCTGTGCCTCAATTTTCTCTTCAGGAAAATGGGGGATAATCATACCCACCTCCTAAGATTGTTGTAAAAGTTAAATGACTTGCTCGATGAAGGCTCTCAGAACAGACCCAGCTTATAATAATCATTGTGTGTATGTGTGTGTGTCAACTATTATTCCTCCTTTCCCTGCACTTCAACCAAACTCACTTCTCTTCCTTCAGGTTTTCACTTTTGCTGGGCTCAGTCTAGAATACTCTGCCAACTGGCCAGCAAAATCCAAGCTCCAGGTCTACTTTTGGATAGCACTACCTCCGGGAATATGGCGAAAGAGCACAGGCCTGCAAACTGATGACCTGAGTTTAAATTAACCCTCTCTGGACAGGTTATGCAACTTCTCTCTCTCACTTAAGTTTCCTCTTCTGCAAAATGGAGAAGATAACAGCACCTAAGGGTTCACTGTAAGGATCAAGTGAGTTTAATCTCCTTAAGTTCCTAGAATGGGATCTTAGCATAGTACCAGGCCAACAGCAAACACTCGATAAATAGTATTAAAATTGCCAAGGCTGCTGTTACCTGGCTCTCTAGTTGTCTTCCGCTCTTAGGCTCTTTGAGTTCCATAAAGTCCCATAAAGATTTAACTGAACTGAACTGTCTCCAGCCTTAACTCTGAACCACCTCCTGGTCCCATCCCACGTAAATACTCTTTTGAGTCCAAAAAAGATCCACCCACTCCTGCCCCCACCGCTCTAAACACACACAGGGACGGAGGTAATGGGACGTGGCCAGAAGCACCCCAATTCCATGTACCCCCCAAGTCCATCAGACGCGTGCGCCCTGCTAGGCCCGAAGGACCCCAAACCAGGCTTCAACTGCGCCCCCTAGCTCCTTCCGCCCCATCCCCCATCCCGCCCCATCCCCCCATCCCTACCCCCACCCCAACCGGACTCAGATCTACTCCTTTCCCCGGGCCCCTCCCATCAGAACCCGGTCTCCCGCTCGTTCGGCCGGGCCGCGGGCCTGGGCCCCGCCCGCGCCGCCGGGCCAGGCCGCTGACCGGTCCTGGAGCTGGAGGTCGGGTCTCTCCCGGGGCTCTTCATAAAAGCTGATGCCCGGATGCGTGGCAAGGGCCCGCCACAGGAACTCCTGCGTGTACGGCTCCAGCGGCAGCGGGAAGGGCGGCACTCGAGTCTCCAGGCGGCTCCAGAGCGCGGGCAGACACAGGCCATCCAGCCCCTCCAGGGCCACCTCGTCCAACAACGACTCCAGCGCGTCCATTGCTACTTCGAGCGGCCCCGTCCCGGCGCCTGCGCACCAGGCCGCCGAGGACCACCCCCCCCACCGGCCCAGTGCGCCTGCGCACCAATGATCGGTTGCCCAGGGAGGCGGGTCCGGCGGGGCGGTCGGAGGCGGAGCTCCAGCTCGCCCACGTGACGCCGCTCCCCGTGGGGGCGGGCTCAAGCCCGGCGCGCCGCCGCCATTGGTCCGCAGCCCTGCAGTAACCAGGGGAACTGCAAACAGTGCAGGGGCCGCTTCCGGTTCGAGCACCCGGAACCGCCGCCTCTGGGGATGGACGGTGAGTGTCGTGGGCCCCTTCGGGAGACCGGGCAGTAATTGTCTCATCCCTCCACTGGGCAGGATCCTAGGCTGCAGACCCCTGGGCCACCAGCACCCGAGTGGTCTCCGGGGTGAGGACAGGGAGGCTTCGCGTTCCGGCTCGGGGAGAAGTGCTTGGGGGAGTGGCCAGTGACTGGGCCACTGTGCCGAGCTGGGTCTTGCAGGGAACCGGGGGCCGCAGTAAAAGTGTGTGAGGGGAGGAGAAGTGGAGTTTGAGGAGGACCTTGTGTGTCCCGGGATGTGGAACTCGTGGCATCTGAGAGTTGGGAGGAGAGTAAGCGTGGGGAGTGATCAGACACTGGCAAAAGGGGGTTCGTAAAGGGTGAAAAGGGGGGCTACGGGGTGAAGGGGGGCTGCCCTTTGTGGTCAGTGTTGTTATTCCATTTTACAGATGAGTAAACTGAGACTAAGAGAAGTTAACTTGCCCAAAGTCAAACAGCCAGCAACTGGCAGAGCGAGTTGAGGAGCCCAGACACCCTGTCTCTGGAGTTGAAGTGTGGAGTTTGACATTTGGAAGGGATGTTATTAAACACCCCTCATTTTATAGTTTGCAAGTGCATTTATCTGTGGACTGTGGTTGAAAACCAATTCCCCTTCTGAAATAGATACTTCTCATTCAACGCTGACCAATTTTTTTCATGAGACTCTTCTCAAAATACTTTGATGATCAAACAGTGTGAAGGCCAGATATGGCCCATGGATCACCATTTAGGGATCCCTAAGAGAACAGAGTTGGTCATTGAAAGCAATCTAAAATAGGCCACTTTTTTCTCTCATTTGGTAAATGGGAAGACTAATGTCCAGAGAGGCTGGTAGGAGCTCCATTCTAGAATGTAGGTCACTTTTCTCATTTCACCACTGTCCCTTGCTTCCGGGGAATTCATTCCTTTGTGAAATCAACATAAATGTGGGGCGGAATTTTTTTTTTAATTGAACAGTCTGTCATGTGCTTTAAAGATGCGTGCCCATTGTACTTCAGAGGTACTATAAAATGTCATTTGCTAGTTTGTCCTGTGAAAAGGTCAGTGTAATATTAGGGATAGAACAACAGTTCTCAAGCCTTTTGAATACATAGTCTCTTACCTTAAAAGAGATTTGCTTATGTATGTTATCTCTATGATATTTACCATTGCAGAAAGTAAAGCTGAGAAAATCCTAAAACATTCATTTACCAATTTATGTGACAATGGTATCTCATGACTTCTGAACACAAATAATATTTTAAATGAAAAACAACTTAATATCTTCCACACAGAAAAATTAGTAGACGAGTGGCATTGTTTTGCATTACATCAAATCTTTTCACTGTCTAGTTGAGTAAATGATAGCTAATTTCTCATTCTGCTTCAGCAGTCAAACTATTGTAGTTATTTTGATTAATTTATATGAAGAAAATCTGGCTTCATACAGATATATAATTGAAACAGGGTATATTTTATTAATAGCCCTTCCAGATAGCTGTAGACAATTTTCTTTGATACTATACCAGTTCTTAAAGGTTAGTTACAATGTGGCATATGAAATCACATTGGTGAACTTTTGTATTTTTGCGCTTTAAAATCCATTATTCTATTTCGATTTCGCTGTTTGTGTATTTTATTATTTTTAAAAAATTTATTTATGCATAGAAGAACTGGGGTATAGGCCAGAGGTGCAGGTGGTCAGAGACAGAATGTGGAGCAGAACAAGCAGATCTACTGAAATACACTGCTGAGAGCAGCAGGTGAGACAGGAGAGGTCTGCTGCACCATATGTGGGTTAGCTCCCTGGGGGGGGGAGCTAACTCGGGTCACAGCAGTGATAGATTGAGACTTAACCTCTATGCCAACAGAGAGGCTCCAATTGTGTATTTTATTCATGTATGTGGTCAGTGTTATTATCATCCCATTTTACAAATGAGTAAACTAGGAAGAAGACTGTTGGTCTCTTGAAAATTGTGGTTCACTGAGTTATGCAATCTTCTAAATGTGGCCATTTGAAATGTCATTACACAATATTTTTAAAAAGTCACATTGGCTAATATCACTACCTATCTCATTTTTTGAAGAAAGTGAGTATTGAGAAACTATTAAATTCAAGGCAGTGGAAACCAGTTTTCTAATTGTTTTAACTGGAAAGTTTCAACTTTATCATTGGCAACAAATACTATCAATTGTTTGTTTGTTTCTTTGGGAAAAAAAAATGTCTGCCAAATACCAGTTGGTCTGTTATTTAGTCCAGTAAAAATGGCATTCTGTATAGTAAGTGGCTAGTTAAGCTAGCAACTCATACAATCACACAAATATTTTTGGGGATCCAACATTGTTCTTATAGAAAAACAATGGCTTATAGGAGTATGTTGTGTGTATTCACCATATTCACACAGAATATTAAAAAAAAATGTGTACTCATGGATTGGGAGTTAGTAAAATTATTTTTGTTCCGTTAGGACATTTTCAGTGAAATTTACTTTTTGTTTGCTTTATTGTTAGTACACAGAAATAAAGAACACAGTGACGAGTACAACTTGGTGCCACAGTCTTGTAGCCACTCAGCCCATTATCAATTTTACCCTCTGTTGCTTCTTTCATCATCAGTGCAAATATCAACTTGGAAGTCTTGGAATTATGATGAAAACTGGGTTGTCCTGTGGACCCCTCCTCCTCCTAGGGTCTGTGGAACACATTTTGAGAAACATTGCTAGACCATTTTCAAGCAGCCTGCATCATCACTTCTAATTGTTATCATCTCAGTGCCCCAGAACATTATGGCCCAGTGGAGGAACATGTTCCTTCTCTCATTGGTTAAAAAAAAGGAAAACATGTTCTCTTTAAGAACATGTTTATCCCAAGATTAGATCCAGCGTTTAAAGGCTTCCTTATTCTTTATGTTTTTTTTTTAAATCTTCGATTTACACACAATTTTATGGGTACGAATGATAATTTAAAGCACACTTTGAAGAAGGTGATTCTAACTAGATAAGACAAGCCCCACCTCTTTAGAAAGATGTTTACCTCCTAAACTTACAAGAACATAATTGCCTACCGAATATCCCCCAACTGGGTTGTGGTTTGGTTTATTCTGCATGTCTGAATCGCCCTAGCTTTTCATGATACTTTTCCTGGCCATTGTGACCTTGAGCAGGTCCTCTCTGGCTCTGTAATGTAGCATGTATAAGTACTGTTCATGGGCTTGGGGGGCCATGTATCCATACATTTTAATCCCTGCTGTGTACTCTTACCTCTCAGAGCTTCAGTCTTCCTGTGAATAAAATGGAAATGATGATGCTTACCTGGCTTTGTTTGGAAATGCATTTTTGTGCACTCAATGAGACTATGCATGGGCACTGAACACCAAATCTGGCATTTAAAAAGTGCTCCCACGTGGTAGCTAGTGCTGTCATTTTTCTGCAAATGGGCACACTCCATCCACACTGTTGACAGAAGAGAGAGGAAATCTGATGACAATCTCTAGCAAATAATAACTTTTGTAATTAGCTTACTCTTTGTTTAAAAGAGAAGTCTGTATTTGACATTTGTTATTTTAATGAAGGTACATAGGCAATGTGAGAGTGTTCTGCCTGTGAAAAGGTTCACCTTTCTGTTAAAGTCAGATTTCCCCCAGAGCTTTTAAAATATGAGATGATTTAGAAAAAAATATCCAACTCAGTTTCTGAGGAACATAATAATTAGGCAAAAGTTCAGCACATCAATATAATTAGAAGGGACTTTAAAGCTGTCCGTTTGCTTTTGCTACCCCCAGAGCAAATATTTAACACTTCCCGTTTATACTGTTCATTTGCTTAGCAAACTTTCTCAAAGAATTAATAACGCCAAGATGAAATTTAGCCTCACTTATCTAAATAATCCCAAATTGCAAAACCAGTGACAGTTGAATTAGCAAGGTCATGCTGAACGAATGCTGTCCGCATGTCTGGTCTCTTCTGTTGTGTGCTGTGCGGTGTTTAGCTGGACTCCTAGTGATGTGTCTGTTTCTCTTACCGCTTAAAATAAACCAAGTAAAAATCAATCAGTGAAATAAAGTAAAACCAAGCCACATTCAGCAGGCAAAATAAATATGCGATCCATGCAGTCTTCATGTCAGTTCTGTTTTCCTTCCTTCTTCGCCCCATCCTTCCATCTGATTCATTTCTTTTCTCTTGATGTTTTCTATCATTCATTCCAACCCATGCTTTTAACTTCCAGGAACTTGGCCACTGCTATACAGTGATGTCTCAGCATTTCAGTGCTTCAGTGCACTGGAGCCCAGTGATACAAGATGAGTAAGATTGAATCCGGGTGAAGGGTATAAAGGAATTTGTTCAAGTATTCTTGAAACCTAACATGCAAGTTTTAAGAATTGCTCCTTAAAACGAGAGGCAATGGATCTGAAAATGAATTTTTCACATCTCAGGTTATATATTGGGAGCCCCTGGCTGAATTAGCACACGGGCATTCTTTATTTGGCCCATAATGATATGTTTTTTAACTTTGGAATAAGTTGTCAACATTGAAAAATTGGAAGATTTCTCATAAATATCTGATTATGGTATTTTCTTTCAAAAATCAATAAAGTCTATTAACACCAGATCAGAATTCTGCATGGCACAATTCCCTCACAGTTGGAGCTGAGTGGAGACTTTTCATTCCACAATACCTACCTGACTGGCTCCCCTCACTACATCCGTCCCTGCCTGGGCCCTGTAGGCACTTGGAGTTGCCACTTTGCATAGTATAAATTGGACAATTTTGAAAAATCCCTTTGGATTCTGTGCCAAACTATGAGGCTTGCTCTTTTAGTTTTACTGTGAAAAAAAGGGAGGGGGAAAATAAACTCTCTGCCCTTAAGAATGTCATAGTCAGGTAAGAAAGCCATCCACAGGGCCTCCCTGGTGGGTCAAGGGGCTAAGCACAGCACTATGAAGTTATCTGGAAGCCTCTGCAGCATGAGTTAGATCCCCGGCCGGCCAGGGAGCAACCT